CTCTTATATAAATGAAGACTTGAAGCTTGTCTCAAAATGGTTAGCATCTAACAGACTAAAATTAAATGCAAGTAAAACGAAAGCCTTGTTAATCGGAAAAAAACAATGTACAAATGTTCAACTGAATATTGATGGTGAAGATATTGAATTCGTAGAAAATTTTAAATACCTGGGGGTTTTTGTTGACTCTCGATTAATTTTTGATATTCATTATGAAAAAGTTATAAATAAGATTAGTAGTAAAGTTTGATATTTATCGAGAGTTTCTGGATGTCTGAGTTCATATAGCAGAAAAATTATCTATAATACCATCATTCTTCCAAATTTCTTGTACTGTTCGACTATTCTATATTTAGCAAATAATTCCATTTTTGAAAGACTGCAAATTTTACAAAATAAGTGCATGAGAATAATACTAAATAAAGATAAATATACTCCAATTAGGCAAATGCTTAGCAAATTAAAATGGCTCAATGTAAAAAATTTTATCAAATATCTTGTAATGATATTCATTTATAAAGTAAAAAATAATATATTTCCATCAAGTCTAACTAATTTAACATCATCAAATGTCGACCATCATTTACATAATACCAGAAATAAAGATGACTTCCATTTAATGACCAAAAAGTATAACATATGCTACAAATCTGTATTCCATCAAGGGTTGATTGAATATAATAAATTATACTCGGAGATAAAAGACCAGAAAATTTTGACAAAATTTAAAGTAAAATTGAGAAGTCACTTGTTAAATCTACAATTATAGGTTGCCCAGAATTTACATCATACACCATATGGCTTGAATTTACTAGTTCTAAGTTGTTTACAATTGTTCTGTTTATGTAGCCAAATGTGCTAAATAAATCTTTCTACTACTACTACTAGATGGAGTTTTCAGAGCTAAATTTAGTGATTTATTGCCATAGATGTCCATAAATTTCTTGATGGCACGAAACTTATGAGGAAATAAAATGGTATTGTAAAACCAGACCGCAAAGCCACAAACACCGACAGGTACTTAAACAAGGGCAGTGCAAAAAAGAGGGGTCATCAAAATCCTGGATAGATAGGGCTGCGCGGATCTTTGAACCCCAACACTTAAAACTAGAACTCAAACACTTCAATCATGTTTTACAAGCAAACGGCTATCAGGAATCCGAAATAACATCAAAACGATCTACAAACCGCCAAAGTAAATTCAAGACTATCTGAGATCTGCAAAAGACCCAATTGACCCACACAGTTATGCAGGGGTATACAGAATCTTATGTTCGTGTGGAACAGTCTATGTCAGAACTGCGAAGAGAAGTATGAACACCAGGATACAGGAAGATAAAAGCAACTGCAACGAAAAATCGGCGGTGGTAGAACACGTCCTTCTTCAAGACGACCATGAAAAAACTGAAATACTGGCCACATAACACATTATTCCATCTGTCTATTCAGAGAGGCAAATTCAAAAACACAACAATTTCAACCGGAAAGATGAAGGAATATCCCTTAACAAAACTTGGCATACCATATTACAGAAGACTCGAACAAAACCCAATCACAAAGCTGACCAAAATGTTGTAAATCCCACCGTTCAGCCCCAAAAATCTTAAAAATAAATATTTTGCTACTGTGAAATAATTTCATTCATTTATTTACCCAGCAATATGTACTAGTAATTCAGTAATTATTAGCCCCACGAAAATAATGCTCTCTATAACTGATACTAATAGATTTTTCGATAGTCAATCGGGGACAGTCGGTGCCGACTCGTGTCTGATCGCGGTCGCCCAAGTGCTTGGGCCGCCGCGATTATTATGTAGGCTTGTTACCATTTTTTGTTTTGGTTACTCAGTTCTCCCTCGTTAGTAATCGTTTTGGTTGCCGGCTGTAGTGTGCGTTCAATTAAACATGGATGAGTGTCGCTGCGTAATCGATTAACTACTTGAAAAGTCATTCTCCTTGTATAATTTTGAAGAAAAAAAAGGAGATGGAATAGCAACTTATTTTAGATAATTTTAAAAAGGAATAAAAAAGCAGTTCGATATTTTAAATTTAGTTGGTATATTTAAAACTCTTGGTTATGTGGTTGCAAGAAAAACAGATTGTATTGTTGGCCATGTCTTCTGTTTTCTACAAAAAATCAGCAACGATTTAAATTCTTTTAGGGTTCTGAAGAGGAGACACGAAATTTCTCCTTTACATGTGAGATGTGTAGCCAATTTGATTCAGTTTGGCAAAACAAGAATCGAAAGTTGTCTCACCCAAGATTTTAGGCAACACACTTATAGATGCTGTATTTTTTTTGGCCAAACAAGAATTACCATTTCGGGGTCATTTTGAAGGGGATTACTCTGACAATAGAGGAAATTACTAGGAATTGTTAACATTGATTGCCAAAAAAGGTTAAAAAAAATTCCGAACATCGTGAAAGGTCTACTGTTTTTCGGAAGGCTTAGATTAGTCATAGCATAAGACGATGAGGTATATCAAGTGCCGCAGACGCCCAGTCCAGCAATGTTTATCTTAATTTAAAAAAAGTTTAAATACAATACCTAAAATAAGCAAAAACTTTTACATGGGATGGTTAAAATAAACCTTGTTTAAGAAGATTTTTCTCATCTGGTATTGGTAACAGTTTAGGAAAAGTCACGCGTCGCCTGTGGAAGATGGCTACCGCAGTTGTAGCCGAAAGCTTTGGAAATGTAAACTCCTGCCCACGGCCTTTAAGCCCGGAAGAAGCAACAGAGAGCATTGACACCGGCCGTAAAAGCCTACGTGTACAAACTGTCTGATAGTTTCAAACCTAGGAAATTTTTTTGAAATAACTAAAGTTTAACAATGTTGATGTATGACGTATTATACATTTTTGGGATCAGAATTAAAAGCTCTATCCACCTGTGCAAGAATCTAATATGACGTCATTGAGAAAAATAAAGTTGATGCTGTAGGTTTATAGACTAAGGCTTTCTGTCCTTCAAAAATTTCTAGATTACACTTGTCCCGTGTCAGCGTCAGCGCTCTCCTATTGTGATGATATGTTTTCTTTTTAAATTGTAGGAAATTTCAGGCTGATAAAACATGATATAACTCAAAAGCAAGCACAATTTGATGCAAATAGATGTTTGTGACATAACCTCAAAATAGAGTTCTGACACGGAGAATTAGAAAACTATGACAAACAAGGAGGCCATAAAGGCGCCCTACAATTGTAGGGACGACTGACGATACGGGCCTAAATTTCATATTGAAATTATAATTATGCCATCTTGTAGAGGAGAATAATTGGCAATGTTAAAGTGCAATTTATTTTGAAATCCCCCTACAATTAATCAGGAAAAAAATTAAATGGTTTTGGGATTATTCTGTAATTTTCCGTTTATCTCCGGAAGTAGTGAGAATTTCAAAACTTCCTAAGCATCATTTTGTTAGCTACCTAAATATGCAACTTCGCCCATATTTAAGCGACTTCGTATCTCTTACCGTTTCCGAGATTCCAATGGTGAGTGTCGAATATGGAGTACCCGGTATATTATACAGAATGTTCCTTAATGATATGCGAATATTTAAGGGTGTGAATCTAAATGAAAAATTAATGTTAGTTTGCTTTATAAACTATGGTCCAAAAATGTTTCCTTACAAAAGCTCGGGGTGTTGAAGTTTCAGGAAAAAAAAAGGAAATTTATTAATATTTTCAGAACCGCTTCAGATATTTCACTGATATTTAGTACGTAGTGAAAGTTAATAAAGTTGCATATTTTTCAATGCAAAAATAATTTTTAGCTTTAACAGTGGCGTGCGTACGAGTATTGACTTCGATATTTTTTTAGAAAAAAATGGTACGCCAATGTTTTTTTGCCAAGTAAAAGTTTTTGAATTCCCCGTTCAATTTAAAACAAATGATCTCTCTTGAATTGTTTTCTTTCGATGCGCCATTTTTGAGTAAAAAAATAAAAACCGTTCTATTGTCTAACTTGCAAAATTATTATTAATTTAATTAGAAAAATTAAACACATTAGGGGTAATGAACAACAACAACTGACAACATAAACATAACATTAAAACCAACGAAATGATTACAAAAATTGTTGAAAATGGCCCCCTTCACTTAGGCCCGTATCGTCAGTCGTCCCTACAATTGTAGGGCGCCTTTATGGCCTCCTTGATTGTCATAGTTTTCTACTTCTCCGTGTCAGCGCTCTATTTTGAGGTTATGTCACAAACATCTATTTGCATCAAATTGTGCTTGCTTTTGAGTTATATCATGTTTTATCAGCCTGAAATTTACTACAATTTAAAAAGAAAACATATCTTCACAATAGGAGAGCGCTGACGCTGACACGGGACAAGTAAGTGTAATCTAGAAATTTTTGAAGGAGAGAAAGAAGTATGACAATCAAGGAGGCCATAAACGCGCCCTACAAATGTAGGGACGACTGACGATACGGACCTTAGTATACATGCTTCCGACGTCCTTCTCATGGAAATGCGCACTCGTTGAAATATCCCTGTGTGTTTTTTTGTTCTATCACAAGTTGTAACTATTATTTCTCTTAATTCCTTTACAGTGTTAATGGGACTTGTGTACACTGTCTCAAAAATTTTATTTGGCAAAAAAAAATTTGGCCTACCATTTTTTTCTCGATACATTTCGAAGTACGCACGCCACTGTTTAAGCTAAAATTTATTTTTGCATTAAAAAATATGCAATTTTATTAACTTCCACTACGTACTAAATATCAGTGAAATATCTGAAGCGGTTCTGGAAATATTAATTAATTTCGATTTGTTTCCTAAAACTTCAACACCCCGTTGTAAGGAAACATTTTTGTACCATAGTTTATAAAGCAAACTAACATTAATTTTTCATGTAGATTCACTCCCTTAAATATTCGCATATCATTAAGGAACACTGTATAAATAAACTTTATATAATATGTATATATCCGATTTTTCTGATTACCTTGCATGTTATATCAATGGTAGTAACCCAAACAAATTTACAGTTTCCGAGCACAAACCGTAGCCCATCGATGGGCGGCAGGCCGATATGGATCGAGAAGGAGCTATCATCACGGTTTCGAATCCCGCACACGTTCGTTCTGCATACGTACACCCGTCCCACCGTCTGCCAATACTGTCGCAAGCTGCTCAAAGGGCTTTTCAAGCAAGGATTGCAATGCAAGGACTGCAACTACAATGTGCACAAGAAATGTTTGCAGAAAGCTCCCAAGGATTGCACGGGCGAGTTGCCGGGTAACGGACATAGTAAGTAGTAACAAGAACGTTTTGCGTTTGATCAAGTAGTATTAATAATGCATTTTGAAGTCATGTTTAAGCGCACACATGCAGGGTGGCCCAACGAAAGGGTCGCACCCCCATTTATGACTCTTCTGGTATATTTTGAGAAAAACGCTCAGACACGTCTATTTTGATTTCTAGGTGGACTTCTTTTTATCTATAGCCGTACAATAAAAGGTGATCAAAAAATAAGATATTGTGTTACACTTTAGATTTTTAAATGGAAACCCCCATTTTTACTTTTTGAGTGTCCATGAAGTTTTTAGTAACTGTTGTATAATAAAGCGTATACCTATCTTTAATCGTTGTGAAGTTATTTGAGTTTATAATAAAATTCTAGAAATTTGTATAATAAGGGATTATATCGTAAAAATAATAATCAATATAGTTCCCATGGTAGCAAGACGTTGCCTAAAAAACAAAAGACAATTTACAGTTTACTCGCACTCAATGTGGTAATAAGTGATGAATTCATTTACGTCCATGCAAGAATAAAGATTTTGTTCGAATCTATTCCTCGCATTGTCAAGCATGTCTTGAGCTATTTATTCAGCCATAATCCGCTAACCAAGATCTTGTATGCAATTTGGTTTCGTACCAAAAAGTTTTCAAATGTCCCCAAAGGACTCAGGTGCGGAGATTGCGGCGGCCTCTCGATGCGGCCTCGTCTGCCGGATTCACTGACTCGGAAAATGGGTGTGCAAAAACAGTCGTACCGGAGCCACATAGTGCGACGGTGCACTATCTTGTTGGAAATGAATGTAATTTTCATTATAATTAACGAAAAAAGAAGACAAGCGACGACTTCCTAACTGACAAGAGACCTGGAGGCTATCACTGCTTATGGACGCAACAATCTTGTACATTTTAATGCTTCCAAAACACAGTACTGAACTTTGACGAACAAAAAGCGTCGTAGCGCTCACCCGGTTTCGATGGATCGCCGAGTTCTGCCAAAGAGCCGTTTATTTCGGCTGGTCTGAGTCCAGATCACCGAGGTCCTGATCTGGCACGAACACATCTCGTCAATAGCGGCAGCTGCTGGAAAAAAGCTAGGCTATTTGCTTAGGGCTACGAAGTACTTTTCTCCGCATGATTTTCTCACTGTACAAAAGGCCCAGATAAGGCCCAGCCTCGAGTATTGCTCACACGTTTGGGGTGCAGCCACCCCGACTACATTATTTATGCTCGATGCTCTCCAGAGGAGGGTGGTCCGACTGATCGATGACTCTTCTCTAACAGACAGTCTCGGGACTCTTTCGCACCGGCGGGCCGTCGGCGATCTAGCCCTTTTCTACCGCTACACCAACGGGCTTTGCTCCTCAGAGCTCTCTTCCATGATGTCGCCGTGCGATGTGCCTGCCAGACAGACCCGCCTGACCTTGGCGTCCCATTCTAACCGTGTCAAACTTCGTACATCCAGAACTGGCCGATACGACCGCTCCTTTATCCCGAGGGTGTTACGATTGTGGAACAATCTACAAGAGGAAGCTTTTCCCAGTTCTACTAACCTTAGGCAGTTCAAATATCGTATTAACAGAATTTCTTTGGGATCATCATAGCAGCCGCTGTGTTCCGACATTTAGGCTTATGCTGCGCGGCTGCTTCGGTATAAAAAAACGTCATTTTCTATTATTTCGGTAATTCGTGGCTCTATTGTATTTTCTAACATGTCTAAATACGTCTCGCCCGCCAAGTTTCCAGGAATAAAGAAAGGTCTTACAATATGGTTTCCGAAAATGCCGGTAAACACATTTATTGTTTTAAGATATTGCGAGTGTACCTCTCAAAACAAATGTGGATTTGACTCACTCCAACATCAACAATGATGTTTATTTTCAGCATCATTTAAGTAGAACGTACACTCATTCGAGAAACAAATAGTAAATAGCATATTTGCATTTTTGGTTAAACGTTGGGACACTAATTTGTAAAACTCTATCAAAATCTTCTTCTTTAAACTCATTTATTGTCTTTCAAAATTCTTAGTACTGTTGAGCGTGTAAATCCTGAAGAAGTAGCCAGTCCAGGAGTGCTTTGGGTGTTGTCAAGTGCTACGTGTCCCAATACCGTTATTGGCGAATATTAGACACAGATCCAGTTTCTCAAAATGTTCTTATCAACTTTGCCACAAACTTATCGTTAATATTTTAACCGGGCAGTAGCTCTTGCAATGCTCTCATTTTGGTAATACAGTTTTGTTATTTCTACCTTTTCTTGAATTGAATAAGTCTCTGTTCAATATTTATCATAACTATGAAGGTAACTTAACAATTCGAAATGAAAGACAAAATTTTTCTATGACATACGATGACACTGGCTGATGCTAAATGTTCGTGCTGGTATCCATGAATATTTTATTATACTAAGTGACATATAAATCCGAACACCCAGTTTAAATGGTTTTATTTTAATAAAATTTTGTATAAGTACTTAATGAAGCATAATAAGTAAATGATAAAAATTTCAAAATGATTGCACTGCTTTAAAGCCCTTTGACCTTTAATAATGTGTGGATGCACCCTGATGTGCTATGCATTCTCCAACGCGCCTAGGCATGCTTCTGATCAGGTGGTCAATGTCCTCCTGTGGTATCTCATTCCAGGCAACCACCAACTCCTCTCGAAGTGCTTCTAGAGTCTGAGGAGGACGTTGCAAATTGAGCAATCTCCTACCCATCATATCCCACACGTGCTCAATTGGGGATAAGTCGGGAGATCTTGGTGGCCATGGTAACAATGTGACATTATTATGTTGAAAGAAGCCTATTGTGACTCTTGCAACATGTGGTCGGGCATTATCTTGTTGGAAAGTTGGATCTGCCAGAGTGTCAAGATAGGGTAAAAGATGGGGTTCTAGAACTTCGTGGATATAACGGTGCGCGTTCATGTTACCTCTGATGACGGTTAAAGGTGACCTGGAACCATAAGCTATAGCACCCCAAACCATAACTCCAACAGTGTGATGAACATGTCTTTCAACAAAAAATTGTGGATTCCTCCTTTCACCACGTCGCCTTCTAACCCTGGCACGACCATCCTACATGCCTAAACAAAATCGAGACTCGTCACTAAAGACAATACTGTTCCATTCCTGATCCCAGAGTGACCGTTGTCTGCACCACTCAAGGCGATTACGTCGGTGTTCTCGAGTTAAAGGGAGGACCCAGTGTGGCCGGTATGAAAACAAGCCAAAACTTCTCATTCGTCGGTAAACACTTCGCATGCCAATAGGTCTTCCGTGTTCTGCAAACCATTCATTTGCAATGGACCTGGTAGTGGAGAAACGGTCCCTTAAGGCCAATAATCTTAGGCGGCGATCTTCACGGTCTGTTGTTCTACGGCCGCGTCCAGTGCCCCTTGCTCTTTGCGTACGGCCTTCTCGAAGCCATGCCTGACAACACCTAACCACAGTGTCTACACTTCCTTGAACTCTAACTGCAATTGCCCGAAAAGAAAGTCCAGCTTCCCGAAGTCCCACTATACGGCCCCTATCAAACTCACTAAGTTGACGAAATCGTACAGGTCTCCGTACTCTAGGCATCGTAACCGATCGTAAAGGATGTCAAGAACCAAAATCCGCCAACGTTGATTCTTTACTGCGGCTGAAATATCCATTTTTAGAGCGTTAGTGAATTAAAAAAAAAGCAGTATAAAAACCGGAATGTCCAACTGATAAGGCTAAACATTTTTTCACTTGTTATTTACAGTAAGATAAATACATTCACCAACTTTTATTAAAATAAAACCATTGAAACTGGGTGTTCGGATTTATATGTCGCTTAGTATATATATTTATATTTTGCATTATTTTTGCCGTGCATTCCATCATCAGTATTAAGTTAGTCGAATTTTATGATAAACTCAAATAGTGTCACGACGATTGAAGATAGGTATAAACTTTATTATACAAAAGTTATTAAAAACTTCACGGAAAATCTAAAAATTATGAAAATCTTATTTTTGGATCACCCTGTATTGTACCGCTATAAATAAAAGACGTCCTCCTAGAAAATTGACATGTCTGTGCGTTTTTCCCAAAATATACCAGGAGATTCACAAATGGGGGTGCGACCTTTTCGTTGGGCCACCCTGTATGTACAAATATTTTTGACACGTAATTGTATACCGGATCCTAAACGAGATAGACATTTCTCTAAAAAGATAATATTTTTAAGTACCTCCTTAAAGGCATCCAATGTTTTGTGAAAAATGTATAATAAATAGGCTACATGGCCCATATCAAATTTTATAGATCTAATGAGTATTTCTTACAGTACTTTTCTTAGGAAAACGAAATATAACTATTTCAATTTTTAAAAGCGCAAGATGGATATATAACATGTTTTTTACTTTTAATATGAAACGGTGGAAATACTATGGGCCATGTTGTTACATACGAATTGTAAACAAAAAAACGTATCCCTATATCACTCGTGAACTAAAGTATCCTTTAAATGTTTATGAAAACTCTAATTAACGTAAAAAGTTATCGTTTTCTCGCTTTATCAAAAAGAACAAACATGAACGTTGCATTTGTAAAACCAGAAAGCACAAATTTGCCGAAAATTGACACATTGATGGTTGGTAATTTTTTTGCCTTCAACCCAGAAGCTGAAGAAAATCAAGACTCCTATGAAAGTACAGTGCATCGGATATTAGGATAAACATAAAAAGAAATAAGTAATACATTTACAAAATCTCCATTTTTAGAAGTTATTAAAAACTAAGCTTTTGTGTCATAACATCTTAATAGTTTTATCAAGTATGGTATTTCTTCTTTCACATCTGCAAAGGAATGATACGCTGATGATGGTTACGTCCAACTCAAACGAGGCGATAAAATCTGCACACTAAAATGAAAAATATGTGTCGCCTATATTTATTTTTCTGGGCAGTCTAATCCACAGCTTTTCTGGGGTCTTTATCGATATGTTTTGTTTATAGGTTTTAAAGTTTGAGAGGTTATGCTGCTGTCAGCTGCTGTTTACAAATGATATGACATCAGAGCACGTTATATGGGCCAAACATGGCGGACAGCGTTTTCGCTTGTCTAAGAAAAATATATTTTCAAAGTGTTTTTATCTAATAGAGAAAATATTGACTATTTGAGACCTACTCAGAAAAGTGTCAACTAGCCTTTTTCCTCGGATGACACTTCTTATAGGTTCTTGTAAATTCTTATATGGATGTTTCAAATTCGACCCTCACCATTGGGATCTCGGAAACTGTAAGAGATACAAAGTCACTTGAATGGGGGCAAAGTTGCGTATTTAGGTAATTAACAAATTACTTCCGGAGAGAGACGGGAAAAACGTTTTAATTTCTTCCTAAGTTTATTTGTAGGGATTTCGAATAAGTTGCACATTAACATTGCCACTTTTTCTCCTCTACAAGATGGCATGATCAGAATTTCTTGTCATCCAGCATCAACTTTATTTTTCCTAAAGACGCCATATTGGATTTTTGCACAGATGAGTCGAGTTTTTAATTCTGATTCCAAAAATATGTAATACGTCGTACATTGACAAAAAACAAAAACAGAATTTCCTAGGTAGGCCTTGAAATTATCAGGTAGTCATTTGTTTCAACATTCCCTTTTTCAGTCCTAAATTGAGTGATGTAGAAGCCCTGTGTCAGTGAAGTTTGCCCAACTATCAAAACTAAGTTTTTATGAAATTTGTCATATTATCGGAAATGTATTAAGAACTAAAATGTATTTGCTGATTTCATACGGTATTTTTATTTAATTTTAACTTAAAATACATTTTTTGTCACAAAGAAAAAATATCTTACGTATTAAAAAAAAACTGCCGATTAATATCAATCAACGAAACTAAATAGCAGCAAATCACCACTGGGTTGCATCGCGGTTTCGACTGATTAGTGCTTTGATACGTGTTGACATAGTGTCAACTAATGTTTGGCAGTCATCTGATGTAAAACTGTTCCAAATTTCTTGGAGTAGGATTCACAATTCTGGAACGGTTCTTGCGGGATTCGATCGGAGATTTTTCTTCATGATAGGCCACAAAGTCTCAATCGGCGATAGATCTGGACTACTCGACGTCCATTTTCAATCTGAAATATTGTTTTCTAACATCCAATCTTTTACTTTTTTAGCCTTATGGCAGGCGGCACCATCTTGTTGGAAGATACATTCGATATTGTTTGCGCGTTTGTTCAATTTGGAGTATCAAGTTATTTTGAAGCACATTAATGTACTTATAAGCATTCATAATACCTTCCATAAAGTGTAAGTTTTCCACTCCACTTGCTGATATGGATCCTCAAATCATAACTGAACCCGGAAACTTGACTTTTGTTAAGACAGTCATTCTGAAACACTTCTTTAGTTCTTATGACACGACTTCTACTATCGTCAACACATACTTCAAATCTGGCTTCATCACACCAAATAATGAAGTTCCATTCGTCGATTTGTTAACAGTCAGCGATTTGAGAAGTGTTTTGGCCTTTTAAATGCAAGTGAATGGTCACTTTCTTATTTCGTCAGAAACGGCTTTACCACGAGCCATTTTTAATTGCTAGCATCAACACCAATGCATAGAAAGTTGATTTAAATGTCAAAAATCAGCTTTTTGGCAACGTAAAATGTTATCATTCATTTTACAAAGCCTACCTTTATTTTACCGAAGCTAGCAAACATACCATTCAACTTAAGTTTTCTCCTTTATGTATTTTGCTATACACAGCATTTTGCAAAAATAAATATACAAATAGCATGTTTTGAGGCGTTGGGCCAACTTCACTTAGACAGGGCTCGTATTTCCTTTGTTGGCCATGAATTTATTGTTGGTTAAAAATTATAAGGAAATAAAAAGGTATGGTGAAACCTGAACACAAAATGAAAATTTTATTAATGCTAACAACAATAATAATCAAAAATAACCAGAGGTAAATGATGCAGATGTTCAAAATGTTGGCTGTTATTTTGTAGGCAAAGCCAGACAATTCTCTGCATATTGCTCACTGCTCGATTTAGTTCGCTTCCTCTCAGTCTTCCAACTCTGTTGCTATTTTTAAATTGAAGTCTGATCTGGTATACGAAACAAATGAAATCCGATAATTTCAAGGCCTACCTAGAAACTTATGTTTTTCTGGAATAACTGACGTTTAGCTATGTCAATGTATGACATACCTATTTACACATCTTAGAAATCAGATTTAAAAACTATTCGTTTGCGCAAAAACGGAATATGGCGTCCATAGGAAGAAATAAAGTTGATGCTGGCGGACAAGACACGAAACGTCATATTAAAATTTTAATTATGGCATCTTGTATCTGTCATGTTGATGTGCAATTTATTTTGGAACCCCACTACAAATAGAGCCAGGAAAAAATTATAACGATTTTGGAATTTCGAAACTTCCTAAGCGGCACTTTGTCGTTTACCTAAATACGCAACGTAGCCCCTATTTAAGGGACTTCGTATCTCTTACAGTTTCCGAGATTCCGAGATCCCAAAGGGTCGAATTTGAAACACGCCGTATATTTTTTGTGTATTGGACATTCCTACATTATTTACAAACATTTGAATATTTCAGGTAATGTTGAGTATCCAGATAGTTGTGCAAGCAATGATAGCCGTTACAATTTGACGCTAGAAGAAGATGACCAAGAAGCAATGAAGGATTCTTATTCTTCAGACAACGGCGACAGTAACAAATACATTGAAGTGATACCCGTACATGATGACGACAACGATCTTACCCCTTCCTCGTAAGTGATTTATCTTTTTTTCTCACATTCGACTTTTTCACTCATATCTTGATACACGAAAGCAGTATATCGAGACGACACTTTTGAATTTGGGTGTCCCACAAGGATCTGTCCTTGGACCTTTTCTGCTTTTATTGTATGCTAACGACCTCAATTCATTTCTGCCTGTCTGTCATTTTCTGAGTGTAGTGGTGTCATACACAGATGACACTATTATACAGGCTGATCGATAAATAGACGGTGATACCTTGTTAAGAAATAATAAAGAGTTTTCAACATACAGGGTGATACATTTAAAAGAAATATATATTAATGTCTTAAAACATATTTGCTCTGATTCTGATGAAATTTGGCAATATTCTTTGTTGTAATAAGATTTAGCACTAAATAGATTGCAATTATTCGGTCCAGTGGCGTCCCGTGGTGCACCTTGGCGAATATTATTGGCAAAAAATGTACGTTACTGCCTTTTTTGTAACTTTAATATTTGTTGTTTGATTAAGCATCTAAAAATACGTATCTGCCTCTTGTATTTTTTTCGTATCTCACTTATTTTTCAAGAAAAAAATTAAAAACGGTTTTATTGCCTGTCGCTGGACCAAATTAGTTTATTATTTTTTTGCTCAAAAAAGTCCATCGGAAAACCAAAAATGAAAAAAAAATTATAGGAAAGAGTGTTATTGCAACTTTTTCAACAGGTACCATAACATAAAGTACACTACAACAAATGTTTGAAATGTCCATCGTCTTAATGCTAAATTCAAGGTCTATTTCTTATTTCTTCGTAAGCATTTACAATTTTATTCCTCGATTATTCTATTGTTTCTATAGGAGTAGAGTAAACCATCGTCTAAAGGTGTCCCCATGAATTAGGTCAGGGGAGCGAGGTGTCCAGTGAATTGGTCCACCTCTTCCAACCCAATTTTCACTAAAGGCGTTATTCAAATGTGCTCTGAAGTATACTAAAATGAGGAGGAGCTTCATCGTTCATAAAAGTTATTTGGTTACGTACAGTTAGAGGAACGGTAGCGGTACGGGCAATTCTTGTTGAAGAAACTCTAAGTAAGATTCGACATTTAATCTTACGGATAAAAAAGGACCAATTAAACTGTCACCAATAATACCCATCCACACATTTAAAGAAAATTGTTCCTAGTGGCGACATTGTACGTAAGCATGAGGATTTTCGTCACTCCAAACATGAGTGTTATGGTAATTAACAAGACCATCCCGCCGAAATCCTGCTTCGTCCGTAAAAAGTATAATTTTATTAAAATTCCTGTTATTATTAACCTTTTGGTGATACCACTGGCAAAACTGTAAACACTGTAGAAAATTTTATTAGCTAACGAAACAGTGGTATTTAACATCTTTTGATCGAAGTGAATTCTTTAATTACCGCCTTCCCTTGATCGGTAAGGCTAACGTTTCCAAGGTAATATTCATAAACTAGCTGGCGGTTTTTTTTGTGAAGGATATAATGACGCACTTGTCAGCATTTAAGTTGAGATGATTGACTTGCGACCATCAAGATATTGTCATTATATCTTGCTGTAAGAGCAGGCAGTCATCAATAGTTTTTACTGGATAATACATGTTCGAAAAATAGACACAGATATTTTAGAGGGTGATACCTTGTTGAAAAAATATGAAAAAAAGGTTCTATAAGCATGGGTCCGGAAATGCAGAGTTTTCAAGATACAGGGTGGCACCTTTTTTTATTAATATCTTAAAAAATATGAACTGGATTCTGTTGAAATTTGGCGATATTATTTGTTATAATAAGAGGCTAATTTAGCCCTAGATAGATTGAAATTATTAAGTTCAGTGGCGTCCCAGGGAGCACATGAGCAAATATTATTGGAAAAAAATGTACGCCACTGCCTTTTTTGTAACTTTAATATTTGTTGATTGATTAAGCATCTGAAAATACAACTGCAAATGTTGGAAATGGCCACCATCCATTTCCGTATATCTCCTCATTCCATTAATCATTGACCGCATAAATAAACATCTATTGGATTTAAGTCAGGGGACCTCTTCCAACCCAATTTTCACCAAAGGCGTTATTCAGATGTGTTTTGACATGTATACTAAAATGAGGAGGAAGGAGCATCATCGTGCATAAAAGCTATTTGGTTACGTTCACTTAGAGGAACTTCTTCTAGCAGTACTGGCAAATCTTGTTGAAGGAGCTCTTAAGTCAGATTCGCCGCTTAATCTTAAGAAAGGACCAATTAAATTGTCACCAAGAAATCCACACATTTGAAGAGAATTTTTCCTAGTGGCAACATTGTATCTAAGCATGAGGATTTTTGTCACTCCATACATGAGTGTTATGGTAATTAACAATACCATCCCGCCGAAATCCTGCTTCGTCCGTAAAAAGTATGGTTTTATTAAAATTCCTATTATATTATATATATATATAATATATTATAATTAACCTTTTGGTAACACCATTGGCAAAACTGTAAACGAGGTAGAAAATCTCTTGGTAATAATGCTTCCACACGTTGAACATGATAGGGATACAAAAGTTACTCGGCGAGAACCTGGTACACAGTGCTGTTGGAATGATTATCCCCTTATGTAGTTGCTGTAGTCCTGGTACCGATACCAGGATTTTGTTCCAGGGCAAGTAAAATCAGGCAGCATTGACTGTCCTGTTTGAAATAAGAAGTACGGTTTTAACACTGTGCATAACCTCAGCCCAAACAGTAATGCCACCTCCACCAAACGCCTCTTGTGGAGCCATGTTTTCTCCATCATGTCCTTCCCCTACCATCAGAGTGGTATAGGTTGAAGCGTGTTTCATCGGAAACTTGCAATTTTGCCATTGCTGATGCCAACTTACCCGCTCCTGTGCCCATTGGTACCTGGCGACTCTATGATTGTTCAAGAGTCCGGTACACTTGGTGCGACGCCTTGCTCTGGAAGACATGCTACTTTAAAAAGGTACCTAGCAAGTTTTTTATAAGATTTACGTACCTTAACAAGTTAGAATTTAAAGTTCTTCTTACAGTACTGTTGGATGCTATTATTCCACTGTGCCGCCGTAAGTTTTCATTCAAGGCTCTGGATGAAAGGGTCCTCCTTCGCCTTACTTCCTGCAATAAATGTCTTTCGGCCCGAGCTCGTATATTTTTTTATTACATACTGAGGACCGTTCAACATTATAAATTAAAGCTACATCATTCACTAAACGACCTTCTTCTCCCAATAATCTTACACAATTCTCTCGTTCTTTTTGAAAAAGACGAGAGATTTTTGGGAAAATAAAATTATACTGTCAATTCTACCAGTCAATAGTATTGTTACTTAGCAATTACATGTTTGAGGTGCAAACTGGAGAGACGTCCTATTTTCATGGAGAGGGTAATCCCAAAGAAATACGAGGTCGAGCCGAAAGATATTTACTGCGAGTTAAAATTTCGATAATTAGAGTTATAGCCAACTTTCGAAAAATTTTAGATATCACTTTTTTAGGATAGTCCAAAGATCAAAAAGATACCTAGAAAAATCTCTAAGATCAAAAATCGAGAATCTGACATAGCCCCAAGCTTTGCTAAAAAACATGACTTCCTGTGCTCACTCTGCATAAGTGGATAAAAGACATATACCAGTCGAAACCTGTACATGTTCTCATGAGTTGGTCAAGAACCTCCCGAATACTGCAACTTGATATCTCTTTCCGTGCCGAAAAAATCGAGATTAGAATTTGGGTTCCAAAGCAACTGTCTACCAGTTTATTTTACAGGGAAATAAATGGATTATTATTATGATTATGTCAACAGGCAGAAAAGAAAAATGTGTGTTCTCTTTCTTAGTGTGATTTATGGTTTTATCTATTACTTAAAAACCACACGCTAGATTTATTTAACATACCGCGAGTGAAATCATCTTATCTTGTTACAGATGTAGCTCATCCTCATCACCCAGTGCCAACATTCCACTGCAACGAATTGTGCAATCAGTGAAACACACTAAAAGGAGAGGATCAAAGGTTATAAAAGAAGGCTGGCTTGTACATTTCACTAATAAGGATAGAATGGTTGGTATTTGCTTTTAAAATTATCACACTATATTTCTCCAGAATAACAATATGACTTTTTTTAAACAATGTTATAATGTAATAACTCATCAACATTGAAGGAGTAAGGGTATTCTGGTATCCTGACTAATAGCAATACGTGATATACCATTGTATATACAGGGTATCCAAATAGTGTATCAAAGCTCAATATCTTCGTAACTATTAGAATTGCAGAAATTATTTTTAGCTATATAGGGTGTCCCATAGATTAGTGGCAATATGAACTTGTATTTTTTTAAATAGGAGACCCTGTATTTCTGCTGATTTTTAGAAGTGCATTTTCTTGGCCATTCTGCCAATGTATGGTTTTCGGGGTTTGTGTTGGGTATTAATCTATGGCCACTTTTTCGTTTAAATTATTATACATTATACTTCCCGTATCTCAAATACACTTTAGATAAAATCTGTTTTATTATTCTGAGTGATGGAAACAGTGGTAGACATTCATATGCAATGCTTTTTACGTACATGTTTCATCCGAAGCATACAGAGTGAGTCAAAACGGAAAGATGTAATTTTGCGAAAAATTTAAATCAAACACCCAATTTATTTAGAAATCTCACTACAAATAAATAAAAATATACCAGAAGAGTCACAAATGAGGGTGAGATCTTTTAGTGGGGCCACCCTGTATGATTTAGAAGTACTTTCTTCAATGTGTTTTTCAAAAGTTATACCTAAATCCGTAACTGCATCAGTTCTCATGAGGTCAAGGTTTTCAACTTTATATTCATACATGAGATAATTTGAACTACGGCTGAAGCTTATATCTGGTAGCTTTTATTCAAATTGATGTTGATCTTATTGGTACTACACCACAGAGCAAGATTAAATAGACCCCTTTGTAAGATTTAAACGTTGTGTTCTGAATAATTGCAGATCATCTGCAAAAACAAAAGTAACTGCTATGTAATATAGCTTCTTTAACATCGTTAACAAGTAAATTGAATAAAACTGAACCAATGTGGGATGTTTAGGGTGCACTTGAAAAGACATTGTTGGGAAAATGATCCGGCATATCTGACACACTGTGTTTATCCTGACAGGCAGCTTCTGAACCAGGATAGTGTCGAAAGCGTTCGTATAATCCGTGTCTATTGTTTTTAAACACAAGTCTGTATTGATTGCGGAATCTTTTAGCAAGCCGTTCCTAATACAGGAGGACCCAACTCTCTAATTATCTGTTCCAATATTGCGAAGTGATGTAGAAATAGGTGCCATAAATACAAATACTTCAGTGGTAGCGACATAAACATCGTAATAATCATTAAACTTCGAGTTGAAAATGCCAGGATCAGAAAATAAATTGGAGTGGTATTTTTCATTCTATTGGACAAGACCCTTCAAATGATTTATTGCTATTGGTTCAGGTACCAGAAACCATGTAGTTTTGCTAATTTTGTTTCGATTCAATCCTGAAAATATACAGGGTGTTCGAAAAATAGACGGAGAGATTTTAGAGGGTGATTCCTTGTTAAAAAATATGAAAAAAAGTTTCTATAAACATGGGTCCGGAAATGCAGTTTTCAAGATACAGGGTGATAAATTTAAACAAATATTATTTAAAAATATATATACTCGATTCTGTTGAAATTTGGCAATATTATTTGTTGTATTAAGATGCTGATTTAGCTCTAAATAGATTATTAGGTCTAGTGGCGTCCCGGGGGCACCTCAGCGAATATTATTGGCAATTACACAGTAAATAATGGAATAGAAAAAATAAGAAAATTTACTTCTTTCCCGTAATCCACGGTCTACGATTTCAAAGGTTTTACTATCTGGACGTTGCTGATGGGGAAACGCTTCTGCATGTTTGCCATTTCCTCAAAAGTACAATTTTCCATCACAAAAACCGAGAAAAAACTGTTTAGAGAAATTTCGAAAAGAAAATTAAATGAATAATTTTTTTCTAGAAGTGACGCGCAAATGTCAAACCTCCATGCAGAAATGATTTTTTGTTTTCCAAGCCACTGTGATTTTTTTTAGCAAAAATTAATAAACCAATTTTGTCCAGTGAAATACAATAAAACGGTTTTTATTATTTTTTCTCGAAAACGAAGTTAGAGTCGAATAAAAAACAAGAGGTAAGTTGTATTTTTAATTGCTTAATAAAACAACAGGTATTAAAAAAGGCAGTGGTGTACATTTTTTGCCAATAATATTCGCTAAGGTGCCCCCCAGGACGCCACTAGACCTAATAATATACTTAGGGCTAAATTATCCTTTTAATACAACAAATAATATTGCCAAATTTCAACAGAATCGAGTAAATATTTTTCTAGATATTATTTTTTTTTAATTTATCACACTGTATCTTGAAAACTCTGCATTTACGGAAACTTTTGTTCATATTTTTTAACAAGGAATCACCCTCTAAAATATCTCCGTCTATTTTTCGAACACCCTGCATAATATAGACTCGCATATCCTTTCAGTATATGAATTTTCTTGGAGGAATCTAACCATGTATGCATTTCATTTTCAGATTCGTAGACATTTTTGGCGATTAGATACTAAATCTATTGTTCTATTTCAAAGTGAGGACAGTTCGAAGTACTATAAAGAAATACCATTATCAGAAATATTGACAATTGATACTGCAAGAATAAAGCAAGGAGGTAATACTTTTGACTGAAAACTGTTCTATTGGTCTAATGATACTTTGGGCTTTTTCAGAAGTGATGCATTGTTTTGAAATTAGAACTGCCAATGTAGACTATTTTGTTGGTCAAGACCCGCTTTATGATTTACAAGAAGGCAACTCTGTCAATTTACCACCGCCAGATAGTGGAATAGGAGCATATCTTGCAAAAAGCTGGGAAACTACCATACGTCAGGCAATAATTCCTGTACAAGCGAATGCAAGTAAGTTCTCTTCCAATACACTAAAAAGCATTTACATGTAACTTTTCAGTCAGAAACTATATTTTTTTATTTTACATACCGAAGCGGCCGCTGATTTTGTTTGTTTTAGATTTATTTAGCATGATTGCTACAATTGCGTTCTTTTAAAAAACTACAGCAATTACATAAAATACAGATGTTTAGAAAAACAAAATTTTCATCTCTAAGAATGTTCACTGTCCTTGAAATATCCGTTTAATTTTCTTTAAAAAATCTTTAAATTACAAGCAGGCTTTACATCATTATTTAGTTTATTAAATTCAAGTAATCCTTTCTGAAATATTGATTTACTAGTTATATTACTATTGCAATTTTAAATTTTAAATGAAAATCTATATTTCCTCTTGTGTAATATTTGTAATAATGATTATTCAATTCTATGTAGTTGCTTGAAATGTTGTGGCAAAAGATGATTTTTGTTTTAAATATAAAAATAGGAACTAAGTATATGTATGTTTTATATTCAACCATTCATTTCAGTAGAAAAGTTAACGTCTTCTACTTTTGATGCGTGGACATCAAAGCAAATATCGAAATATCGTTTTAAGGCAACATCACAAACAAAACTTTTTACGCCAAAGAATACATTTATAGAAATTGCATCTTTTTTTAGGAGATTTGTCTATGCGAAACTGTTGAGGTCCCCCACTTATTATTGGGTAGTGGAGTAGTGTTTTGGCGCACACCAATTAACATTTATAGGGGATGTCCCAATATTGGACAACATTGCAATAAATGATTGCTCCGGAAGTTGTACTCAGTTTACAACTTCTTCCCGTTCAAGTGATTGTACACGCCTTAAGAATACCTCACTACCGATTGCCGGGTGGTGGCACAAGTCCGCCAACGGGCCTCCTTAGGTCTATTTAACATCATTAACACGCAAAAAGAAGGTGATAGACAAGGACCAGTCGACCGCTAGCTTTTCCCAGGGTGTCTTATGAATGTCCACAGGTTTTCACATCTAAGCTACGCAATCTGTTAGCTTTCCCAATAAAGAAATTAATGATGATCTATCCTCGAATACTAAGAATTCCGGACGTAAAATCACTCCACTCTCGGAGTGTCTGAGTGGAGGGTGGATTCGAGGGAACAACATCGAAGAAAAAATTTGTTTCACTATTATCTGCGGGATTAACAGCAACATTGATGCTGTTCATCACTACTTGCAATCCAATCGTCCCGCCATGCTTTTCTTTGCGGAAACAAAAATCTCAGAGTCTGCACCGATTATCCATCTTAGCTTCCCAAATTATGAGGTGCATCTAAGAAAGAACGAGGTAGGTGTGGCTTTTGTCCACAGCAGTCTGTCCTGTTTCAGAGAAGTTTCTTTGGAATCAGACCGGCAGGACATTGTGTGGCTTCGCCTCAACTCCAAAACATCCCCCATATTCATTTGCTGCCTTTATCGCTCTCCCTCGGACCATAACTGAATTACCTTCTTGAGTACTTCGCCGTCAATATCGACTTCCTGATCATCGATCACCCCGCTTCACAGGTAGTTCTTCTCAGTAATTTCAATGTCCATAATGAGCTTGAGGTCGGGCTCAAACAAGACTGATGCAGCAGGTCGTGCAGTTGAAACGTTCTCTCTTACTCAAGGGCTGACCCAGCTGGTGGCGAGCTCTACTTTTTCCCCCGCGTCTCGTCATATGCTAGTAGCCTGCTGGATCACTGTCTGACCACGCATCCTGTCCCTTACAGCACTGCAGTCCTGTCCTCCCTGGGTAACGTAACTCGGATCACGCTGCTATGGAGATTAGGTTTCAGTCAGCTGTGGCAGCAGAAACTCGCCCAGGCCGCAAAATTTGGCAATACAGAAATGCCGACTGGAGGGGCGCAGAGACTTTTTATCTACCTTTCCTTAGAGAGATGTTGGTTTCGCTGACGCGGATGCGTTGGCTGTCTGTTCTTCGATTAGCGAAATTATCCACGTTGGGATGGAGGAATACATACATATCTGATACTGTGAAAGTACCTAAATCAGGGTCCAACGGATGGTTCAACAAATCGTGCGACACTGCTCGTCTGCAGATCAAGGCACACAGAACAAAACCCCCTGTACACAACAGACAAGCCGACGGTCTTTCTGGATGCTGGCCAAGTAGATTGAAAGGAACTTATCACAGAGTAGCCTTCCACCACTTACGTGTCATGATAGAATGATTGTAACCGTCTCAAAGGCTAAGATCTTTGCTGCCAACTCCATCATGTGAGTCCCCCCCAACGGCCAAGTGCCGCCGTTTCAAAGGGTGCCCTGCACTATGCGGGAAGTTACATTCAGGCATAAGACCGTAAGAAGGGTGCTCTTTTCGCTCGACATCAACAAAGTTTCTGGTCCGGAATTGATTCCCGCCATTGTACTGAACAGGTGTGAGCGGAGCTTGCTCCGTTTCTTTCGCGTCTCTTCCAAATATCTTATGAATCCGCCACCTTTCCAGAAAACTGGAAATTTGGTCTTGTCCAACCCATCCCAAAAAAAGATCTAAGACCGACTTTTGGTAAGACATGATAATTTAAAATTATTAAGATAAAAACTCTTGTACAGTATAAAAGCAGCTCTGGCGTAGAAATTCCTTTACTTTATGCTTAAACTGATTATAATCCTTAGATATTTTGGTAAATTGGTGAATGGGTGGATGCAGTTATAAAATACGTGTTTCATATTGTTTTATGCTTAGGAAAACTTAAAAGCGCGTTGTATGGTTCTGATTACTTCCAAGGAGAGTAAAACCATCAGGATTGCTTTTCAAAAATATTACACATAGCCATGATTTTCTAGAAATGTCTGGTGCGGCACTTTCAATGGCCAGCTGTTTATGCACGTATTGCCACAACATTTAAATGCAGACTCACAGAATTACATAGAAAATGTGTTAAACGATGTTCCGTTAGCAACGAGAGTACGAATATGGTATCAGCACGACGGTGCCCCACCGCATGTTCGTCGTGACATAACCGCATGGTTAAATAATCATTTTAGACAGTTACAAGAACGAATAGATTATGCGTTTCATCAAATTCAAGCAATAATAAATTTTGCGGAAATACCCTTTTCTTTATTAAAAAGATGCCGCACTTGTATCCGTCAGAATGGTGGTCTTTTTGAACATTATTAAGCTTTGATCACCTAATTTGTTTTTTTTTATTTTTACGCAAACAATGCACTCTAGGCAAAAACGCAAGAGTTATTTGTAGCAAATTGAAGCTAAATTCGAAAAATTGTGCGTTTCGTGTGGCGTACTATTTTTATTTGGAAAAATAATGCCACTAATGCCCTGTATCTCCGCCACTGGTGCACGTTAATTTTAAGTAAAGACTTTTGAATGTGGACAATACTTAGGTAAATCCACATACCAAATTTCAGTTCATTTTAGTTGACTGTTTATGAAGGTATTAAAAAAATGTTTTTCATTTTCAAACTTCCACACCTCGTACGTTTTCAATGAAGCCCTCAAAGAAAAAATGTTACATAGAAAACTCTCCTTAAAATGAGGTCCTGTGTATGATATTTCATTTTTGGACACGACTTGTGAATCGCCCTGTATAATCAGCATGGTGTATCTTTATTCGTATTACTACTTCAGCATTTCCGTTTCAGAACATGAAGAAACATCGGCTAGTGAAGAACAGATTACCGACATGAGCCAGATTTATCAAATTTATCCAGATGAGGTCTTGGGATCTGGACAGTTCGGAATTGTGTATGGCGGAGTTCACAGAAAATCAGGCAAAACAGTAGCTATAAAAGTATAGTTATTGATAATAACAAATGACGGACATAGTAAAATACGTTTGTTTTTAGGTCATAGACAAGTTGAGATTTCCTACTAAACAGGAGGCGCAGCTCAAAAACGAAGTGTCAATTTTACAGAATTTATCACATCCGGGTGTGGTTAATCTAGAAAGGATGTTTGAAACCCCAGAAAGAATTTTTGTTGTTATGGAGAAACTGAAAGGTGATATGTTAGAAATGATTCTGTCACATGATAAAGGCAGACTGACCGAACGAGTTACAAAATTTTTGATCACTCAGGTAATTTTTGAGAATAATACATTTACTTTCTCTAAGAGGGCAATGCTTGCCTTAATTCGTTCATTGTTAAATTTATTCTCTTTAATGTTTATTACGAGGTAGTTGCTCTGCTTATCGCAGCATTTCCAGTAACCCATATTATTTGCAATACCTAACATTTGCTAACAGTTTCAATTAACAATATTGTTATACAGGGTGTTTGAAAAATAGATGGAGATATTTTATTGGGTGATTCCTCGTTAAACAATATGAAAAAGCGCGATAAATTTAAAAAAAATATTGATTTCATAAAATTATTTACTCGATTCTGTTGAAATTTGGCAGTATTATTTGTTGTATTAAGAGGCTAATTTAGCCCTGAATAGATTAAAATTATTAGGCCAGGTGGCATCCCGGGGCATCTTAGCGAATATTATTGTCAAAAAAATGTACGCAACTGCCTTTATTGTAACTCTAATATTTGTTTGATTAAGCATCTAAAAATACAGCTTCTTTGCCTCTTGTATCTTTTTCGTGAATCACTTCGTTTTCGAAAAAAAAACCGTTTTATTGCATGTCACTGGACAAAATTGGTTTATTAATTTTTGCTAAAAAATCACAAGCGCCTTAGAAAACAAAAATTCAAAAAAAAATCTAGGAAAGAATGTCATTGCCACTTTTCCAATAAGTACCATGACATAAAGTACACCACAAACACCAAATGTTGGAAATGTCCACCATCCATTCCCGTACACCTTCTCACTCGTCGAAACATTGAACGACGAACAAGAGCTACAATTCGAGGTCTATTTCTTATTTTTCGCAAGCATTTACGATTTTATTTAAGATTTAACTTTACTGGTTAAGTGTTAGAATAGTATATTGCTAAACTTGGCCACTATATTTACACTTTATATATAGGGTGTCCGCGAAAGGTTGGGAAATCTCGAAACTGGAGATACTACAGACCAAAATATGTGAATTGACCTAAACATACCTTAGTTCAAAAGTCGATAGTTTACGAGATACGGGATGTCAAAGTTACAATTTTATTTTCTATTTTTCCTTATTGCTTGAGAAGTATTTCAGATTTTGGTATAAAACTCGGTATAGGGAGGTTTTCTAGTATGAGAAACAAGAATCCGTTATTTTTTATGGCCAAACTTCTAGAGGGCGCCACTTACAGCACAATTACTGTAAACAACTTGTCATAACTTTTTTGTGCTATCGTGTATACAACAACTGGCTCAAAAACCTTATTTTCTCGTATTTCCACAACAAAAAAGGTTTACTTGTCAGAAATGTCTAAAGCTAATAGTTTTCGAGATATTTGTTTTTAAAAGTTCCAATGCATTATTTTTGTACCATGATGATAAAACATTTTTATAACAATAATCTAGTTGCTTTGGATAATATCTGAGTAACGTTGCTATGGTTTTTAACAATGACAAATGAGGATGGCAACAGAACTAATAAACGGAGATAATAACTACAAAAATTGTTCGAAATGAGCACCACCTTGTGTAACACGCTCTCGAACTTGACGAACTAATCATTGCTGCACTCTCCAAAGCATTTGGATGTTATTTTTCATTTCCTGGCTATGGTGGAAAATTCTTTGTCGAATATCGTCTACAGTTTCCACTGGCGTATTGTAAACGCGTCATTTTAACTCATCGCAGAAGAAGAAATCCATAGGATTTAAATCTGGTGATCTAGCCGGACAAGATACAGGTCCTGATCGGCCTATCCACTGTTCTGGATAAACTCTATTTAGGTGCTCTCTAACTAATATACTAAAATGAGGTGGAGCGCCGTCGTGCATAAACTATATATTCATGCGTGTTTGTAATGGGAGATCTTCAAATAGAGTGGGTAATTGTTCTGCAAGAAATTGTAAATACCTTTGACCATTTAGTCTAGATGGTAACTCAACGGATCCTATTGAATATTGTCCAATTATTCCTGCCCATAAATTAATTTGAAATTGTACTTGGTCGCGGGTTTGTATTCTTGCATGAGGATTTTCGTCTGCATAAATGTGAATATTATGCGAGTTGATGGGCCCATCCCTTCCAAATCCTGCTTCGTCCGAAAATAATATCAACGAAGTAAGACCATTGTTGTGGTTAAACTTCCTTAAGAGCCATGTAGAAAATTCTACCCTTGCGGATTCATCATCCGCGCTTGAACCATGTACTTTTTGCAGGTGGTATGGCATACTGTACATTCGGAAATTCTCGAGCTACATTTCTAATCCTAACTGTATGATTTTCAAAGACGGCATCTAAAACATTTTCTTCAACTTTAGCTGTACGTACAGTTCTGGGAGCTCCACTATATCGGCCCATATTTTGAGCAAAACTACCTAAAATCCAAATGGTTTTTACTACTCAAAATAAGGCTATAATCATTTCTTACCAGTTTCTCGTAACCGCTGATCGATTCGTTGGAAAGTCTTTGAATTAGGCAGGTATCTGTTAGGGAATCTGTCAGCGTACAATCTTCGTGCTTATAACGCATTACATCTTGCCAATCCGTACATTAAATGCATATTAAAATATTCATCAAACGATGATGTCTAACAACTTATTGTCAACTTAAGATTATACATGAAGTTTAAAGCAATATTATGACAAACATTAGAAACCATAGCAACGGTACTCAGATATTATCCAAAGCAACTTGATTATTATGTTATAAAAATGTTTTATCATGGTACAAATAATGCATTGGAACTTTTAAAAACAAATATCTCGAAAACTATTAGCTTTAGACACAAGTAAACCTTTTAGTTGTGGAAATACATTGGATTTTTCGGTCAGTTGTTGTATACAGGGTAGCACAAAAAAGTTATGATAAGTTATTTACCGAAATAGTGCTGTAAGTGGGGCCCTCTAGAAGTTTGACCATAAAAAATAACTGATTATTGTTCCTGATACTAGAAAACCTCTGCCAAAATCTGAAATACTTCTCAAGCAATAAGGAAAAATAGAAAATAAAATTGTAAACTTGATACCCTGTATCTAGCAAACTACCAACTTTTGGACTAAGGTATGTTTAGGTCAATTTATATTTTGGTCTGTAGTATCTCCAGTTTCGAGATTTCCCAACCTTTCGCAGACACCCCGTATACAGGGTGGCCCATCCATGTGTGGACGGAATATTACTCATAAATAAATACATTTTGGGAAAATCTATTTATGGCATGTTATATATGATATTTGAGGGCACATTTCTAAAATATTGGCAATTATACAGGGTGTCCGAATTTTGACCTACATATCAAAGTTGTGATTTTTTAAATGGAATTCCTCAAATTTTATTGCATATTTGGATAAACCAATTCAAAAGAAGAAGAAGATTGATATAACATACTATGGGGTTTTGGCTAATAGCTGAGATGTAAGGTGTTTTGTCCAGAAAAACCGTCCAATTCGGCAACAACTCAATCTGCCATTTTGAAATTTGGAGTGCTGAATTTTATATAAAAAAAACTTACACCCCTCAGCTTTTATATTATTTGTTACTTTTTCGAATTTTCCTTTTTGCTCATACAGGGTAGTCAAAAACGCGAATTGTACTTTTTCTCAAAAATTTCAAATGCATCACCCTGCATATTTGTGCAAGTTTGGATTCAATTTTTTATAAGCTTTTTTTTGGTATAGGGTTTGATTCAGATAAAATCGCTATATTTTGAGTTATTAAGCTTTTAATAGAACAACACACCAAAATTAAGGAAAAAAATCACATCATCCATGGAAACAAAAGGCAAACAATGGGCTAGTACAGATTTGACATAAAAACTAATAACAATCAGAACAGTATAAATCAGCTTCAAGCGTAATAGAGAAAAAATCAACTATACATAAACAAAAAAACTATCACTACTCAAGACCTAATCTACAAAAACTGTTCGAAAATATCTCCACCATGTTGAATAAACAGCCGTAGTCTTTGGATAAATGACCGTTGCACATCCCTCAGCATGTGTTCCCTTATGTTCAGAAAAGGATCCTTAATCCTTTCCTTCATAATTTCCTGGATAGATGGTGGATATCTATAAACCTCTTGCTTAACTGATCCCCATAGAAAGAAGTCCATTGGTGTCATATCTGGTGATCTAGGAGGCCAAGATATAGGCCCATCACGACCGATCCAAGGATTGTTACTCCAGGTGTCCAAATAGTTACGCACACGATAATGATAATGCGTAGGTGGAAGTACATACCTATGTATCCGAGTTTGCAGGTAGACATCCTCCAAAAGCAAAGACAAATGCCCGATCAAAAAATTCAAGTATTCTGTACCTGTTAATCTGTTGTCGAAAAAGAAAGGCCTGATAACTTGTCTGCCAATAACTCCTCCCCAAACATTCAAGCTCCATTTATTTTGGAAATCTATTTGCCTAACCCAGTCAGAGTTTTCCGTCTCATAATAGTGCATGTTATGCCTGTTGACAACACCTATGCTGTTAAAAGTTTCCTCATCGCTAAAAAGAACCTTATCCAGGAAAGTAGTAGCATTATTCTACTAAACTCCATTCGAGCTGCAAAATCCTCAGGATGAAGGAGCGAGATGGCCAGTAATTTGGTCCATCTCTTCCAACACAATTTTCACCAAAGGTGTTATTCAGATGAGTGGTGACGTATACTAAAATCAGGAGGAGCTCCATCCTGCATAAAAGTTATTTGGTTACGTACATTTAGAGGTACTTCTTTTTGTTGAAGAAACTCTAAGAAAGATTCGCCGTTTAGTCTTAAGGGTAAAAAGAAAGGACAAATTAAATTGTCACCAACATACCCATTCACAAATTTAAAGAAAATTGTTCCTGGTGGCGACATTGTACGTAAGGATGAGGATTTTCGTCACTGCATACATGAGTGTTATGGTAATTAAAAATACCATCCCTCCGAAATCCTGCTTCGTCCGTAAAAAGTATGGTTTTATTAAAATTTCTATTATTATGAACCTTATGGTAATACCATTGGCAAAACTGTGAACGAGGTAGAAAAACTCTTGGTAATAATCCGTGCACACGTTCGACATGATAGGGATAGCAAAGTTGCTCGGAGAGAAACTGCTGCTGCCACAGTACTGTTGGAATGATTACCCCCCAATAATCTAGTTGATATAGTCTTGGTATTAATACCATGATTTTGTTCCATGGCACGTAAAACTGCCTCGTCAAACTTAGGCGTTGCCGATGGGGAAACGCTTCTGGATACAGGCGCCTCGCTGCATAACAGTTACTATAAGCACGTGCATATATCACATGTATGTCTGCCATTTCCTGAAAAGTGTAATTTATGAAAAATCCGAGACAAAAATATCTATGAAGAAGTGATGTTTGTTTTCCAAGGCACTTGTGATTTTCTTAGCAAAATTAATAAAGCAAAGTTGCCCAGTGACATGCAATAAAACAGTTTTTATTTCTCGAAGACGAAATGGGATACGAAGAAGTTGTATTTTTGGATGCTTAATCAAACAACAAATATTAAAGTTACAAAAAAGGCAAAAATAATTTTGCCAATAATATTCGCTAAGGTTTTCCCATGGGTCGCCACTTAACCCAATCATTTCAATATATTTAGAGCTAAATCAGCCTCTTGATACAACAAATAATATTGCCAAATTTCAATAGAATCGAGTAAATATTTTTTAAGGCAATAATAAAAAAAATATTTTCGCCCTATAGCTTGGAGATTCTGCATTCCGGACCCATGTTTAGAGATACTTTTTTTCATATTTTTTAATAAGGAATCACCCTCTAAAATATCTCCGTCTATCTTTCGAACACCCTATATAAAATGCCTAAAAAATTGTTGAATGGAACTTAGAAAGCATTGAAAGCTATCTTTCATTTAGCTTTCTGGGAAGCCATGATGGGGTTCACCCCTATACGAGTTTCTGACAGTTCCGCATGGTTTTTTACAATGGTCTGTTCACACCTCATTTACCCCGCATCGAAACAAACATGAACGCTGGATCGTCGCTTCTATTCGCTTGTCGCTGACTATCCAGGCATTTATGGCCCACTGGCCAATAGGAGCGTGCCAGTATAAACGTCGCGCGCTGTTCGTTTTGATGGAACATAGATGACATTCGAATAAGCCACTAGAATCCGGTAGAAACTGCTGGTTAGCTTGCACAAGTAATTCCGCAGATTCTGTCATATTCGACGGTTCAGTATGGGAACAACGTAAACTACGACTAAGCGGATTTTGCTTGAAGGACCTGCCGGAGCTTGATGGATAAAGGCTTTTGGCTATTTTGTTAAATTTAATATTTATTTTTTATATTACATCCCACATTTCCGCCAACAAGATTTCAACTCTTCATATACATTCCCAAGATCTTTGCTGCCAACTTCACCATGGATGTTCTCCTCAACCACCAAGTGCCGTCGATTCAAAGGGTTCCCTACACTATGCGGGAAGTAACATTCAGGCATAACACTGTAAGACGGGTGCTCTTGTCGCTCGAAATTAACAAAGCTGCTGGTCCGCCGGACTTGATTCCTGAAATTGTACTGAAGACGTGTGCAGCGGAGCTTGCTCCACTTCGTTCGCGTCTCTTCCAGATATCTTATGAATCCGGCACCTTCCCAGAAAATAGGAAATTTACTCTTGTCCAAGCCATCCAAAAAAAAAGAATCTAAAATCGACCCTTATAACTACAGGCCTATAGCTCTACTTTCCGTTATAAGTAAGGTGATGGAGAGGTACATAAATTGCGAGCTTCTGGACTACCTTGAACGACAGGCAGGTTTCTGACACCAGCGATCCACAGAGGACCTCCTAGCGTACGCCACGCAATTGTGGAGTAAACTCATCCAGCCTTATGTCGTTACTCTTGATATCACGAAAACGTTCGACCAGCTATGGCACGCTGCCCTCTTACTCAAATTTCCATCCTATGGCCTCCCAGAGAAGGTTTGCAGATGGGTGACTGACTTCCTCTGTGGACGCTAGATATCCGTCTTAATCGCCGGGGTCTCCTCTTCATCCCACAACGTCAACGCGAGTGTTCAGCAGGGTTCGATCTTGATTATGACATATTAACAAGCTCCTTTCCTGTACGATCAACCCAATAAAATGGCAGCACTTTACATGCAGGAATTCAGAGAGACAAGCTGATCTGCGGCTGAGCTGGAAAAAAGGAGACCAGCGACGACTTCTCTGACTAGACACCTGGAGGTTATCACTGCTTGGGGACGCAACAATCTTGTACAATTTAATGCTTCCATGAACACACATTCGGTTTCGATGGATGGGTGAGTTCTGCCAAAGGGCCGTTCATTTCGACTGGTTGGAGTCCAGATCACCGAGGATTTGATCTGGCACGAACACATCTAGTCAATAGCGGCAGCTGATGAGAAAAATTTAGGCTATTTGTTTAGGGCTAAGAAGTACTTCTCTCCGCATGAGCTTCTCACTCTATAAAAGGCCCAGATAAGGCCTAGCCTCGAGTATTGCTCACACGTTTGGGGTGCAGCCGCCCCGACTACATTATTTATGCTCGATGCTGTCTAGAGGAGGGCTGTCTGACTGATCGATGACTCTTCTCTAACAGAGAGTCTCGTGACTCTTTCTCACCGGCGGGCTGTCGGTGATCTGGCTCTCTTCTACTTCTACACCAAGCGGCTTTGCTCCTCGGAGCTCTCCTCCATAATGCATCCGCGCGATGTGCCTGACAGATAGACCCGCCTGACTTTGGCCTCCCAACGTAACCGTGTCGAACTTAGTACATCCAGAACTGGCCGATACGACCTCTCCTTTGTCTCGAGGGTGTCGAGATTGTGGAACAATCTTCAAGGGGAAGCTTTTCCCAGTTATAGTAACTTCAGGCAGTTCAAAAATCGGATTAATAAAATTTCTTTGGAATCCTCATGCCAGCCGCGGTGTACTGGCATGTAGGCTTGTACCTGCGCGACTGCTTCGGTATATAAAAAAATTTAATAAACATTTTTTTTAGAAACCAGCTCCGAAAAACATTTTTGTTTGAGTTGCGAAAAAATCCTGCTATAATTTAGGTAGGGGTGGGGAAGTTTTCACCGTCCTGGAACCCTATGGGAATTTTTGTAAAAGTCGAATATTAAGACGTCTGTATGTTCCAAATTTCATCCAAATCGTACTATCTGTTCCAAAATAACAGAAAAATGTGTTGTAAAAAGAAAACTGACGTTCTCTGACGGATAAACGAAGGGCTTTTGCACAGAAGTGAATCATGTCCAATCGACTTATTTTGAGTCTACATATACGTGGTACTTCTATGTCCACGGAATATTGGGACACCCTGTATTACATTCTTAAGGGGTGGAGGCAGCTTCATATCACGACGTAATTTTGTCCCAGGTGTAGAATTTCGTGGACCACTTGATAACATCTTTATTGTCTTTCTGGGCCGTATTTGTAATTAACTGAAGAATTTTTTCCAGATTTTGATAGCGCTGAAGCATTTGCATAGCAAAAATATTGTGCACTGTGATTTGAAACCTGAAAATGTTCTTTTAAGTTCAGATGCCGAATATCCTCAAGTTAAACTATGCGATTTTGGATTTGCTAGAATTATTGGCGAAAAGTCTTTCCGGAGATCTGTGGTAGGAACACCAGCATATTTAGGTAAGAGAGTCAAATAAAGATTATAGACGGAGTACCTATTTTCGGCCCTTCGTATTCACACTATTTACAATCCTTTGCATTCGGTACAGTTGAATTCTTTAGCACCGTTAAAACGCTCTGAATGTTCAATATCCTACATATCTACTTGACATTTTTGCAGCACTACAATCATTAAAATCAGTAAAATCATTTATGAATGATAATATATTCCGTGACATTAGAAGTGTTACACCCAGAAAAAATAATTACTTTAACTTGTTTTTTTTTGCATGACTATATTGAAGGTGTGCTGTGCCAACAATGTCAACGCTTTATCTTTGTTTTTATTTACCTTTGTTAAAATGTTATCTTTTAGTGTTATTGCAAAGATGATTCTAAATTGTGGAGAGCCGCGGGACTGTTAGCGCGTTCAGATATAATTAAGGTAATAAGGTAATCGACACCCGAGCCATACAAAGTCAATGTAGGATTGGCACGTACCTGGGTGTTCCTGTCGTCTGGTCTGGACGAGCTCCTCTCTCTTCACAGCTTCTTCTTAGGTTCACCACACTTGCCTTAGCGGATATGTTGTACCCGGTTTAACTAGGATTCTTTTTCGAGGTATTGAAGACGACCGTTGCCTTTTACGAGATTGATTTCACGAAATCTTCTTCCTCTTGTGCGCATGTTTTACTGGTATGCGCACGTGCCAAAGGGTTTGAATTTGTATGGCTTTTGAGTTCAAATAATAAAGTATGTTTTAGAACTTGCATGAACACTTAGTCTTTGCGAAGAAAGCAGTTTCTAACAGCTGAGTGGCACCGATATTTTTAGTTATTTGCCTTTCATTTATTAGTTTTAAGCCTAACAAAATGCCTCAAGTTCGAAGGCGTCGAAATTATCACCATGTTAGCGACTTTGACAGTGGTATAATTATTGCCTATCAAGAAATTGGCCGTGAGCGGACCGGACGAATGGTGAGCGGACCGGAAGAATGATTCTTCCGGTCCGCTCACCTTCTCCACGTGAAGCAGATGTAGGAGGTTAGAAGGATGTTCCGGTTTTTGTCTCCAAAATTGCTTTTCGTTAATTTTCAATGTGTTCGGGTGTATTGATATATAGTGTTAATACCTAACGATGATTTCCGTCGTTATCAATGAACCCCATGTGTCCATCCTTTTGGTTTTATATTTGTATCAAGTGCTCTCATCTCCGCGTTCATTTTGAAACACCATTTGGCTGCAACCTCATCGACGACTCCTGAAGAAGGCTCCATAGAGAATGCCGAAAGCTCGAGATTACCGTTAAAAGAGTTTACTAAAGCCTAAAAAGTTTGCCAATTTCCCAATTAACAATTAATTGTATTTTTTGCCCAACTGGTCGTTGGCAGTGGCAATGACTACTGCTCACATATATATATATATATATATATATATATATATATATATATATATTCTTGAATTTCTTTGGGTAGAAGGCAAAGTATTGCAAAAGTACACTCTTATAACTAAACTCGAGCTTTCGAAGATATATGTCTTCATCGTCTGGAGTAAGTCGGCGAGATTGTTGCTAAAATTGTTTTTAAACAACAGTGAAGGGAACACATAGTCGACGAATAAAAAACTGAACTGATGAGGTTCGATTAGGGCAGATTTATTTTATTATTAAATGGATAATCAGTTTACAAGGCTTTTTAATTAAACAATCGATTTTGGAATAAATTTTGAAAATTTTAAAACTATCAACTATTGAAAATTCCTTCGAGATTTCATCTTTTTTTCACTGATAACCTCCACATTATCCAACACGTGCCGGTACAGTTATGCAATTAACTATGAATACTACATACAGGGTGGCGCATCGAAAACGAAACAGACTGGCAGCTCAGTTTTTTTTTTTGGAAAAACACTCAGACCCGTCGATTTTGTTTTCGAGGGGGACACAAGTTTGGCAAAAAAATCACGTTAACACGTGCAGCCCCCTGTGCGGGGGTGACACCGACCCTAACATCTTAAATGGAAAGGAGGGTCGAGTGATACCTTATTTTGAGGGTCTTTCAATTCCCTTTATAATGATGTAAAATACATGAGCTTCATTTCAAAAGTTTTGAAGATTTATTGATTTAAAGCTTAAAGTAGACTTTAATAGGTACATCAGATTAGTTTGTTCTACTTTCAGAAGAAACTTGACTAAAATAATTTACTTAATAAGTAAATGCTTTTCTTCACTAGGCCCATGGTTTGTTTATCATTTTGTTGTTGAAACTAGCTATTGGAGCGTTTTTTTGTGGCAAAAAAATTATTTCTTGAAGAAAGATAAGGAAATATCTCGTACTTATTTTAAATAGGAATTTAGTACATAGTTTGCTATTGATTTGACCAAACTTTGTTGCTAATAGAACAGCAAAAATATTTAATGAGCGACATGAGAACAGTAACGTGCAGCGAAAATATGTTCTAGAACTTGTAGCTAAATTTCGGGAAAATGGGTCAGTCGCCAATAAAAAACGCAACATTGAAAATCCCATAAGTAACGAAGCAATAGAAGTGGGGGTTTTAGGGCAAGTTTATGTAGATCCTAAGTACCCGCAAATTGGAGACTGTGTGTGGTGTTAGTCGACGTACTGTCCAACGGATTCTAAAGGCCCATAGTTTACTACTATAATTACTGGAAGACGCCATAGATCCTGCATTAACAGCCATAATTAAAAATCAGAATGATCGGCGGTACATTGCGAATAGGTTGATGTTCCAACAGGATGGTGCCCCACCACATTACGCATTACGTGTTCGACAATATTTAGATCAGACGTTTCCAGAACGATGGATTGGTAGAAGAGGTGCCATTGAATGGCCCCCAAGATCGCCAGATTTATCACCTTTGGATTTCTTTATGTGGGGTCATTTAAAAAGCAAAATCTATGCTACTCAGCGAACATCATTGGAAGACCTGCAACAAAGAATTGTGAATGAGTGCTTTCAAATTACTCCTCAAATATTGCAAAATCTGCGGCAACGTTTTGAGCAAAATCTTTATTATTGCATGGAGAGTCATGGTGGCCATTTTCAACATTTACTTGCCTAACGGGTCAGTTCATTCTTCATTTTTAAATTACTTTGCTGCCAAATGTATTGATCTCCGCTAATGATGATGTATTAGTTTTATTTAAAGACCTTTAAAATAAGGTATCACTCGACCCCCCTTTCCATTTAATATTTTGGGGGTAGTGTCACCCCCGCTTAGGGGGCTGCACATGCTAACGTGATTTTTTGCCAAACTTCTGTCCCTCGAAAACAAAATCGACGGGTCTGAGCGTTTTAAAAAAAAAAACTGAGCTGCCAGTAAATGCGTCTGTTTAGTTTTCGATGCGCCACCCTGTATATATACAGGGTGACTTTGAAGTTGAGTCATTAATTTTCAGATAATGATTGTAGAAGGAAGATAAACCAAAATACGAGTATGTGTGTAAAAATAAAAAAAAATTAAAAAAAAATGTTACCTTGTTTTATAAAGTATCCTCCCGACAAGTATTTCAGTGCGGACCTGTATTTGATTGTGAGGTCTTGGAGCATGCCCTCCCCTGTGAGGTCTTAAGTCACCTGATTCACGAGCCCGTTGTACTACATTAACAAAGGCACGAGGGGTTGGTTGCACTCGATTGGGAAATCGTTTGAGCCACGCAGCAAACACCACTATTCACTCACGCGTTACCGACTGACACATTGACTGAATAAAAACATCGTGATCAGCGTTTCAAATTCTTTCGCTTTTTTGTTTCCGATGCGATGAACCGATAAGGCATATGATATCCGTTGTTGCCAAACACGAGCACATAATATTATTATTGAGACAGGGCGGTACTCAAACTTCTAAAGGGCTATAACTTTGTTACTTTAATTTTACCAGAAAAATGTTAAAGGAAAAAAACATAACTTTTGATCAGATCTACTCACTGGTAAAATAAATGACTCAACTTCGAAGTCACCCTGTATATATATATTTTTTTTCTAAGGCAAATACTGTAAGAAATACTAATTCATTCTATGAAATTATATATAACTCAAGTAGCCTATTCCGGTGTTGTTGTATATAAGTACTAGAAAAACATTTCCTAAACATATACGAAAAATGATTTTAGCTCCCGAAGTATTAAGAAATAAAGGGTACAATAGATCTTTGGATATGTGGAGTGTTGGCGTAATAGTGTACGTTAGTCTCAGTGGTACATTCCCGTTCAATGAAGATGAAGATATAAATGAACAGATACAGAATGCTGCATTTATGTATCCACCAAACCCTTGGAAAGAAATTTCTTCTGATGGTATGTTTGATTTCTGTCATTTATATTTTTAGTAGCATTGGAGTTAGATTCCGGTGCCAAACAGTTGCCGCCCAGCCATAAGGCTGAAGGTGCACCATAGCCCAGGCTACAGAAAAAAATAGATATTTCATGTAAAAAAGTTCAGCAGACATCTCAAAAGTTTTAAATGAAAGTAGTATTTTTAATGACAAATACATAAAACGATATGCGTTGTTCTTTTTATAAACAATGGGATAAGCGCTCAAAATACAGTATTTTGCTTGTATGATTTTCAAATTAAATTTTATAAGTAATCGGTAAACTGGAGATTATATTAGCAATAATAATAAAAATTGTTATTGCAATAGTTATAAACATTTATTCAATATTTCTAAAAATCCCCGTATTTAGCTTAATTGTTTATCGAGTTTAATACCTAAAAAACAAAATTGAAGGACTTTTTACGCTCTTAAAACTTCCTGCTCACCAGTTACTTGAAAATTATACAATCAAAATACTGAATTTTGGGCTTTTCTTTATAAAAAACAACGCATATCTGGCTGCACCTTTTTATGTATTTGTCATTTCCATTTAAAACTTTCTCTATATCTGTTGATGGGAAATAAACATGTATCTCACTAGGAAAATGGTTTTTAAGTGGCAAAATAACATTTATTCCCATATATTTTGTCATAGTCTAATCATATTATACGAAAATACCACTGGTTTGCGAAATAATTTTAATGGCTGGTTTTATTGATGTTGTTGTTCAAGGAGGTATTTAAAACACGCATAAAATGTATATACCAATTTTTGTGGGAAAACTTTTTATTCGATAACAAAGAATGAGAAAACGTGTTTTTGGGATTCAATCAAAAGTGTTAGCAGCAACGAAAAAATTCTTCAAATAAGATTTTTAGTTATTTATGAAAAAAATAAGACCAAAGATCTGACTAATAGCAAAAAAGTTATGGCCGAAAACCGTGGCAAAATGCAGGTTTTGGCACCTGTTGGAAATGCGACGATAGTTTCTCGCAGATACTTGAAATTCTTAGGTTTCATACTTTTAAATAACCACCACAAAATTGGAGTAGATTGATCAAGTAGTTTTTGAGAACTTGTAATTGTTTATCCCAAAACACCTGTTTTCCGGCCATCACTACTAGTTTATTGGGCAATATACAGGGTTCGTTCCAACGGTATTTAATGGAAAAATACACTAGTTTACCTTGCCGATATGAATCACAAACTATTCCAGAAGATAAATATTACTTTTATGCGAAAAAGAAAGGTTGCGTTTTTTTCTTCTAAACAAATTCAAACATTTCGTATTTGTAACTGAACAGATGCGCTACGATATTCGAAAATAATGCGCTAAACATTTTTTTAAGATCTTTTCATTCTCTTATGTATACTTATTCAGAGCTAAAATTTACAGATGAGCCTTAAAGTTTATAAAAAAAAATATTTCATACTGAAATGGACTGAACTGTTTATAAAGTTATCACGCAAACTGAAGACGCAATTATGTTTCAAACTGTCTTAGCCTAGTTAGTATGTAGCATGTGCTAAATAGCTACATTATTCATGACTGCATGAGTTAGTCAGATAAGTAGGTCGCGAAATCCAGTTTCTTTACGAAGAAATATCAATCCCTGGACCCTTTCTCTAAAAGTATTAATATAATACACGTTTGTTTTCGAAATCTCGTACGATTAAAACGACTGCGCGTTCAAAATGTTGGAAAATAAACTCGAGAAAAGGAAAAGACAGACAAATATCAACCAATTGTAGCGAACTGACCGTCTGAAAATTTAGGCAAAATGCTCGGTATCAGGCCCTAATAAAATAATTTAAAGTTTCAGCATTGGATCTTGTGTAGTTATTAGTTATTGAGATTAATCTAATTGTTTATAACAGATTTGATGTAAACATTTGTCAGTGTCAAGTATAGTGGTATAGTTGTAGTCACCGTTTTTGACGGGTCAAAGTAATACTAACAGTATCCCTTTATATACCTCCATCTCCCTCATACATATACATGCAACCTACCCGTGTGTGTGAACGTTTGTTCGGTAAGCTCAAAGACATGCCTTTTTTAGTAGTGTGTCTCCGTCTCGAAAACTTTGTCGTTACGTATGAGTGCCCTTCAATCTTACTTGTCAGAGTGACAACTTACTTGACATCGGCGTGCAATTCGAGTGGTCCTGTTATCAATCTTCAATATAAAATTTTACAATGAGAGAGTAGCAGATGCGCCGAAGTTTAGACTGTGCAGTGTTCCGCCCATGGCACGGAGACTCTATCTGTTTACTTATTTCATATGGCGTTGATGACGTAACCGCCAAGAACGATGACTACAACTATATAAAGATCCAGTAAACCAAGAGGCGTGGTAGTGTAGTGGGAAGGAGAAGGAGTAACCGTTGCAGTTTCGCATTTTGCCTCGATTTTCGGCCATAACATGTTTGCTATTAGTCTGATTTTTTTACGTGTGGTCTCATTTTGTAGAACTCATAAATACCTAAAAATCTTATTTGAAGAGTTTTTTTCGTTTCTGACTACACTTTCGATTGAATCCCAAAAAAACACGTTTTCTCATTCTTTGTTGTCAAATAAAAAGTTTTCCTACAAAAATTGGTGACATGCCACGGGCACACTGACAGTCGGTGTGTCAGTAGATGTTCCAAACATCGGATGCCCCATGTAAATTCTTGATCTTCCGGGTCACATGTTTGAAACCAGCATACATTTCCTCATTCTTAAAGATACGTTCAGTTATGTAGTGTATAAATCGTCTTGAATCATGTTTCAACATCAGCAGTGGGCTAAGAAAGTATCTACAATTTTTGCGAAACGGTGATGTCGATACGATTATAAGTATTAAGTATTAAGGCCGTCTGTCACGATACGAAATTTTGTGCTAAATGTCGTACAAACTCAAGGGTAGTGTCAGACAGCATTTAGTACATAATTTTGTATAAACAAATTGAGTGCTAAATTTTTTGGAACGTGTTCTAAATACTATACTAAAAGTGCGGAGTCGCCTACTGTGCATTTGGAGCAGTACAATGGCTGATAGAAGCGCTACGTGACAAGGAATTACATGTTTTTCTTGATGTTCTCTTGATGCTTTGTAATCATTAGATGAGATGATAATTGGACAAAAACATGCCCAACCTCAAGCACATTCATCAGTTGTTCAGTACTGTTCTACTTGTACATTGAAAAACTTGAGAGATGTCATGGTCAAAAGACCAGTGTGACATACTACTAAACGAGTATGGCAAATACAGGGTGGGGTATAAGTAATGAACCGGCTTGTCACACTAATTGCTTGTTCAGTGGTGGGAATAGGAAGTGGGGAGGGGTGTCATTGTGGATGTTGCATCGTCCAGTTTTCAATTGACGCCATGATTTGGACAGGTGAGCATCGCGGCTTCGCTGTGCGTACGTTTTTTGAAAATGGCCGCTCTGTCATCGCCACGCAGAGAGCTATTCGCGTATATTTCAACATTCCGCGTAATGTTATGGTCCCTAGCGGTAAGAAAAATAAGACGTTTGCCCGTACATTGGAAAACACTGGATCCACAACAAGACCTAAGGCAACTGGAAGACCCAGATCTCTCACAACACCGGAAAATGTGATGGCTGTGAGGGCAGCAGTTGAATTGTCACCAAGGCGCTGTATAAACCATGTAAATCGTTGTCAAGAAATGCTTGAACGAATCCCCAAAACATCAACTTTTTTCAACTGCGGCGAGCACCTCTCTGGTGCTGTCAGTAAGCAGAATTTTCGGTACTGGGCTGACAGTAACCCAAGGCAACTTCACTCACCTAAAGTGACTATGTGGTGTGCGATGTCACAATTTGGGATCATTTGACTTTTTTTTGAGAAGAATGATCGAACAGTAACTGTCATAGCTGATTGGTTCCAACAAGATGAGGCTACAGCACCCACAGCTTGTGTCTTTGAGAGGTGACTTGGGATGGCCAGCGCGCTTGCCAGATTTAAGCATGTGCGACTTTTTTCTGTGAGGTTATTTGAAGGAAAAAGTTTTCAAACATCGCCCCTACACTTTAGATGAGCTAAAGACACGAATTGTTGAGGAAACATCCACCATACCCCCAGAAATGTATAGAAAAGTAGCTCAAAGCTTCAGAAATAGACTACATCAGTGTATTGTTGCTGAAGGCCATCATCTTGCTGAAGTTTTGTTCAAAACTATTTAAAAAATGTGATTACATACAAATTGTAATGAAAAAAAGTTTTAAGCCTGTAAGTTATTCAGTTTTTCTTTGATACCTCCTGTGGTCATCACTTTTGTGTTAGTCTGCGACGTTGGCAATAATGAATCGGATATAAATTGGTGTAAATCAAGAAAATCTTCTATGTAGCGTTTTGTTTTTTGTATGCAAATTAACTTTTCTAAATAAAAGAGCTGTTAGCAAGTACAAAATGAATCTGTAGCGTATAAAAAAACAAAACAAAACACGGTTCTCACTACCTGTCGTTGACGGATCTGTCAGAATTGTGTCCTGTGCCGATATGGGGAATTTTGAGATATTACTAGATAATCAGTTGTCATTCTTCCGTAATGGATACTCGTGAAATAGGGTATAACTGTCAGTTCGAAGTTGACAGTTATATTTTTCTCTACCGACTACGCATGTTTTCGCACGAAATTTAATACAAAATTTCTTTACGTGACAGACGGCCTCTAGATCTATTATACTTTATTCCATTCGGTGTCAGTTATCACGACTGAAATACATGGAAAGAGTATGGTGAGTCTAGTGGATAATGGCTTCTGACACATAGCCCTCAAAATGTGAGGTAGAAATAATACTTATGAACCATGCTCTGCCTACTGCTATGGTTCAAAATTTATTATTCTGCTAACAGATGTTTTTATTTGTAGCAATAAATCTAATAAATAATTTATTACAAGTAAAACAAAGGAAGAGATTTACAGTTGATAAATCGTTAGCACACGTCTGGTTGCAGGTAAGATTCATTACTTTATAAACGTAGAGGGTGGCCCGCTATAAATTGACTCTTAACTTTCTGTTTGAACGCTCATAAAAAAACCTTATTTTGCAGAGTGATCTATGTCCGGACATATACGATAAATGACGCACAAAATATAACTTTTTCACTACAGTAACGAAATTAAGTGTACTCAGTGACATTAGAAGTGTTACACCCAGGAAAATGATTAATTTCTTCAACTTGTTTTTTGGCAATAGAATGACAACATTTAAAGCATGCCGTGACAACAATGTCAACGTTTTATCTTTGTTTTTGTTTACCTTTGTTAAAATGTTATCCCTTAGTTTTTGTTGGGAAAGCAGTTTCGGAGAGCTGAGTAATACAGATATTTTTTGTTATTGCCCTTTCATTTAGTGGTGTTGAGTTCGAAGACGTCCAAATTATCACCATATTAGCGACCTTGACAAGGGTAGAATTATTGCCTATCGATGATAGTTGGTTTGTCCTATCGCGAAATTGGCCGCCGTCTTAATTTTACTGCAATGTTGGTAACGCGTGTGAGGATAGAAGAAGGTAGAGGAACACGAAGAAGACCAAGTGGTCCACCGAGGCGTACCACAAAGCGTCAAGACAGGCGCTTCAGAGAACTAGCACTACGGGACCGTTTGCTACTACGCGTCAGATCGCTGACCAATGGTTTGGAGAAGGAGGCTTACTACACGTACACTCCAGCGACGCATTCAAGCCTTTGGTCTTTTTTTCATACCGTCCCCGGTTAGTGCTTCCTCTGACTGCGGACCATTGTCGTCATCGTTTCAACTGGAGCAGAGAACGGCAACATGGGGAGGCAGAATGGCGTACTGTTATCTTCAGCGACGAATCGCGATTCGGTCTAGGTACGCACGATGGTCGTAGAAGGGTAAGACGCTGCCGTGGAGGATGGCGTGGTATTTAATTCGCTGTTCAGAGGCATGTACACAGGACTGTTGGAGTAATGGTTTGGGAGGATATTGCCTATGGTAGCCGATCACCCGTTCTCTTTGTTCAAGGCAATATGACTGCCACGCGTTATGTTGATGTTGTCCTACAAACTACCAGTTTACTGCCGTATCTAGAGGGCCGTCCACACCGCAAGACAACGCACGTCCCCATATTGCTCGTCGTACTGCGGACTTTCTTCAAGAATCAAGCGTTAATGTGTTGCAGTGGTCACCCCTTTCACCGGATTTAAATCCCATCGAACATGTGTGGGATATGATGGGAAGGAGACTATCGACTTTGAACCATTCGCCACAGATTCTGCCACAGCTAGTCCACGAAGTTCGAGTTGCTTAGAATGAGGTGCCACAACCAGACATCGATCATCTCATTTTGTCGACGCAAACAGGAGTGTATTCACCTGCGGGGTTGCCCAACACATTAATTTTTTTCTTATTACTTGTCAATAAAATTTCCTGAGAATGTTATCGTTTCATTCTTGATGTTAGTCTACCTCATTGCCAAAAAATCAAGTTAAAGAAATTATCTTTTCTGGGTATAGCACTTCTAATGTCACTGAGTATATAATGAGTGTTTCCATTAAAAAAAATTACATAATTTCGTCCTGTATACTAAAAATGGGTATAGAAAACATTGTACTCTGAACCTTATGTTTGATATTTGTCTAAGAAATAATAAAAAAAGTTAGAGGAGTTATTTATAGCAGAATACCCTATGTTCCCGTATATGCCCCAAATGCTTCTGTAATGAAAATACCGTTTTTACTGTTTAAAGTCTAGTTTATTACTCTCATACTAATTTATTACAATTCTTGGAGTCAATTTATTACAAATTTATGACTATGTCAATTGGACTATGACGTTTCGCATTGTTAACTGTCGGGTGAATCCGCCTGCCCGCTCTTGACGCGCGTATTTACCCACAAGTCGACGAAGTCCAGAAGCCTTCTAGGCAGAACTCGAACCTTTATCGAAGCTTGCTAAATGCGTAATTCTGTTTGCCTAACCGCCCATGTTCAAGGATGCCTCATATCACAGCACGTAATTCTTATACAGGGTGATTCACACGTCGTGATCAAAAATGAAACATCATACACAGGACCGCATTTTAAGGGGAATCTTCTATGTAATATTTTTTCCTCTAGGGCTTTATTGGAAAGATACGGGGTTGAAGTTTAAAAATGAAAAAATATTTTTTTAATATCTTCAAAACCGTCAACTTGAATGAACTAAAATTTGGTATGTGGATTGACCTTAGTATTGTCCACATTCGAAAGTCTTTACTTAAAATTATCGTGCACTAGTGGCGGATATATTTACAGGGAATTAGTGGCATTATTTTTCCAAATAAAAATAGTACTTCACTGTTTTTTTTTCGAAACGCGCATTTTTTTGAATTCTACCTTCAATTTACTACAAATAATTACTCTTGTCTTTTTCCCCTAAAATGCATTGTTTTCGTAAAAATAACAAAAAACAAATTAGATAATCAAAGCTTTATTTCAATGAATGCTCAAAAGACCACCATTCTGACGGATACAAGTGCGGCATCTTTTTATTAAATAAAACGGTATTTCCACAGAATTTGATGAAACGCATTATCTTTCTTTCTTGTAACTGATCACAGTATTAATTTGTTCAGCATACGCTAGTTGGTTAAAAGCGCCCCACAAAAAGAAATCCAGGCGGTTCAAATCAGGAGAGCTCGCTGGCCAATGTAATGTACGGGTCCGTTTCTGCAAATCCATCGTTGCCTAAAATGATTTAATCATGCGGTTATGTCGCGACGAACATGCGGTGGGTCACCGTCGTGCTGATACCACATTCGTACTCTCGTTGCTAACGCAACATCATCTAACACATTTTCTATGTAATTCTCTATAAAAGCTAAGTACGAGTTTGCATTTAAACGTTGTGGCAATACGTGCATAAACAGTTGAATAGTTGAAAATGCCGTACCAGACATCGCAGTACGAACAACGCAACTGAGTGCAATGGAAGCTCTGTAGGATCTCCCACCGTTGGATCTGGTGATCCGCGGTGAAGCGAGAGTAGTTGCTCATCGACTGTGGTGTCAGGGCGGCTGGGCCTTCTTGAATCCTGTCAAGGGGCATACTGCCATCTTAGTCGAATTACAAAGGGAGGACCCCTTCCTTCTAAGCAGGGGTGATCGTATTACCCCTAAATATCGCTTCAACCGCAAGTTTACTGTGGAGTATCCAACGAGGGAGGAGGTGCTGGGGTCTCTGGGCCTAGAACTAGGCTATCTCTGCCTCTCGGTGGATACACCACTATTTCCAGGTGGAAATCTTTGCGATTCTGGCTTGTGTATCTCGCATTCTGGAGGAGGGTGGGCCTAGGAGAAGAATAACAATTTTATCCGACAGCCAGGCTGCAATGAAGGCACTAAATGCCTGTAAGATTACTTCGAGTCTTGTATTGCAATGCAGGGAAGCTCTGGATTGCCTCGCAGCGAGGCATCTGGTATCGTTAATATGGGTACCGGGCACGCTGGGATAAGGGGCAATGAGACGGCGGACACTCTGGCGAAAACAGGATCAGTCAGCAAGCTCGTTGGTCCTGAGCCAGCTCTAGGAGTGACCGCGCTTAAAGCTAGGAGGAAAATGGAGACAAGAGAACACTCTCAGAAATGGAGAAGTGTCTCCCGACATCTCCGCCAGGCACGAGAACTCATTGAAGGGCACAGTGATAAGGATGGACGCTTCTGCCTATCTCTAGATAGAGCCAACCTAAGGTTGCTGGTGGGACTGTTGTCTGGCCATAACACGTTAAGGCGCCACCTGCACGTGATGGGGGTGGCTGAGGATCCCTTGTGTGAGCGCTGCGTGGTAGAGGAAGAGACCTCGGCGCACGTGAAGCTCTGAGCTACTATAGGCAGACTATACTGGGGTCTATTACTTTGGACCCTCAGGACGTCAATGAGCTTGGACTGAAGGGGATTCTCAACTTCACTGAAAGGGCGAGGCTTGTGATCTAAGGAATTTAGAGGGCCCGCTTAAGCGGCCTATGCACTGGCTTCTTATGGTGGCCGGAATGCCTCTAATTTCACGATTCATTCATTCATTCAACCAGACATTTCTAGAAAATCTGTGTTGAAACGAGTGAATTCTTACAGAACGAGGATTTTCTAATGACCAAATATGTTCATTATCAGAGTTAATGGTTCCACTCCTCGTAAAAAGCGATTCATCTGACCGCAAAACCAAATCAATAAAATCTGCATTTTGATTATGCATTTGCAATAACCACGCACAAAAATTTCACCATTGCACTTCGTCGCCGGGTTGTAGACATTGCACAAAAATGTGCAAAAGCCGACGGTGAGGATGTAAAACTTCCCACTTTAAAATTTTCCACGCAAGACTTTGGGAAGATGGTAACCGGGCTGCAGTCCTCCTAGTACCTGTACTAGGATCATCCAAATTAATCACTTCCAGTGTCTCTTGAACAGTATACCAGATACCATGTAAAGTTTGGCAATTCCATATTGCTGAAGTCTTAGAAATGAACGTGTCAAAACCTTTGGGGTAGGTTGGCGTCTGTTAGGAAATCTAGGTTAATACTTCCGAGAAGCCATTAAAGCATTTCCATTACATAACCCGTACACAAAAATAATATCGGCGTACTCATTATTGCTAAATTTCATTTCACAACACTGTGGCGTACTATTTTTATTTGGAAAAATAATGCCACTAATCTTCTGTATCTCCGCCACTGGTGCACGTTAATTTTAAGTAACGACTTTTGAATGTGGACAATACTTAGGTCAAACCACAAACCAAATTTTAGTTCATTCCAGTAGACGGTTTTGAAGATATTGAAAAAAATGTTTTTTATTTTTAAACTTCGACACCCCGTATCTTTTTGTTGTCCTCGAGGAAAAAATGTCACATAGAAGACCCCCTTAAAACCCGGTATGTTTCATTTTTGGTCACGACTTGTGAATCATCCTGTATAATTTCTCCTGATATTTGCACAAAACTTCTCTTGATGTATGATCCATATTTCGGATTCATGTAGCATAGGGTATCCCAGCCTATGAGGGCAAACGAATGTTTGTTTCAACTGCGATACGCATACCCTCGTAATTTTTTTCCATTTGACTGAAAATATACCAGGAGAGTCACAAATAGCGGTGCGACTTTTCATTGGGCCATATCTCTGTATTGTTCACTTCACAGGCATTATTTCAAATGATGATGATGATAACTAACAATGAGTATTAAATTACAAATGTTTCCAGGACTACGAGACGTGGTGTGACTTGCGCACGCTTGAAGGTCAAGTAGGTGTACGCTACTTAACCCATGAATCGGATGACGCCAGATGGGAACTTTTTAAGGCTGAACTATGACCAGAGAAAGGATGGCTCTGCACTGTTAAAAAGTGCCTTCGGGGGCTAAAAATGTAAATGGCCGAAACGTTTTGATCATTCACATTGTTGTTATACATGCATTTTTAAGGAAAACATTGAGTCCAATACTCATAAATTTTGAGATTAGAAAAATTCATTACAGGCCGAAATTCAGCATGATGGTAGGTAATAGTACTGATAAAAATCAATTCTCGCCCCAACTCAAACAGTTCTAGACTTACGTGATATAATAGTATTTTTGTTTTCCTTCTACCTAAAAAAATTACAAACATTTAGAAACCCATATCTGTAGGATGAAAACTGAGAAAATTTGTTACAGAAACAGCAATTTACGATACTTCCTCCAGTTTTTGCTTTCCACGCCATTGGCGAGGAAGGATTGTAATTCTGAAAAATATCGAAAATGAGCTATTTTTTTGATGTTTATGAAGTGTACATCAAAAAAAAATTGAAGAAATTTTCTCACAAGCTTGCTGCTATGCCAAACACGAAAAAGCTTAGCCAAAGCCAAAACACGAAAAAAAATAGAATATTTCAAGCTTCGTTTTTGACTTCTCAGATGCTTCTGATTATTTTCAGAAATGTTGTGTAGGGATAAAAAATTGGGGGTTTTGGTTTATAGGTGGTGGGAGCGAGTATATCTCAATTTTAGAACTATGATTAAATCCATAACAGTTTTTACATTGGGTGATAATTTAATATAGATTTAGATATAACAGATTCACTACGATTTTGAGAATCAAAAAGATTAGTTGCTCTTATTCTAAGATTTTCCTTTAGGATGATATTTTGACAAACGTGTAGCAACCCAAAAACCCAAACGGGTCAAGTAAGCAAGCTGAAATTCGGGATGATGAAATTTACGCATAAATACTAAACTGGTGCACAGTCGCTTTGCAACATGGAAAATTTTACCCAAATTCAAACCTTGACATTTTCAGAACGGAAAAAGATATCGAGGTACGGTATTCGGAAGGTTCTTGTGAACACGCACAAGGTTCTACCGGTATATTTCTTTTATTTAGCAAAGTTTGGGTCTGTCAGATTCTCAATTTTTGATCTTGGAAATATTTCTGTGCATGTTTTTATCTTTCGACTGACCTAAAAAAAGTGGTATCTCAAATCTTTCGAAAGTTGGCTGTAACTCAAATTATCGAATTTTAAAACAGTGTTACATTCATCCCTAAAAAGGCATTTCTTGAGGTTTATCTTGAGAATGGGTATTTTTTCTCATACTGTTGCATAAAGTGGAATTTCTTGCGCCCGAGAAAAGATTGAAGCACTCATTGAACGTAATTGCCTCCAGTGGCGTGCAGTAAAAATTTGCTACTTTGACATTATGTAATTTGAACAGAATTTATAAATTTTACTATGCAATTAAACAGCTTAATGAACAAATTCAAGTTACTACTCTTAATATAGGGGTGTATTCCAGTGGCGTAACACCAAAAACATTTTTTGGTTTGCTAAGAAGTGCTAATAACTTCAAAGTTTTTATTTTTCAAAATGCTATGACGCTGGCCAATACTGCTATTCATCTTTTATCTGGAATTTTTCTCATTCAGCATTGGCGTACGCGTCTTCATTCAATAGGTAATAGACTCTATTAAATTTGTAAACATCAAGTAATTTAATTGATTAACATTAACAATACATATGTAACATTTTAGGAAACAAAAATTTGAAGACCAAATTATTTATTTATGACAAAAACGAACTTTTTACAAAACAGCAACATTTATTTTAAACAATACTGTTAGTATCTTGTAGGGCCACCTCGCACATCGATCACAGCCTGGCATCTTCATTGCATACTTTCCAGAAGGTTATTAATAAATTCTCGAGATACGTTTTCCCACTCTTCCTGAATGGCCTAAGACAGCTCTTCCATTTTTTGAGGAGTATTTTGTCTTGTCCGCACTAAAAATCTTAGCCGAGACCACACATGCTCAATTATGTTTAGGTCTGAAGACTTTGATGGCAGAGGCAATAATGTAACATTATTTTCTGCCAAAAAGTTTTCAACAGTACGAGCTCTGTGCGTGCTGGCGTTATCATCAATGAAGACAAAACCCTCCCCAAAATATTGTGCAAAAGGTACAACAATATTTTTTAAAATGTTGTCCCTATAAACTGCAGCATTGTATGTCCTGTTTGAAATAAAAAGTTTGGTTTTACCAGCACAAACAGTAATGCCACCTCCACCAAACACCTCTTTTAGAGCGATGCTTTCTTTATCATATCGTTCCTCAGCTTGCCTCCAAACAAGGACCCTACCATCAGATTGGTATACGTTTTTATCAAAAAATATGCAATTTTGCCATTGCTGATGCCAATTTAACCGCTCCTGTGCCCATTGATACCTGGCGACTCTATGATTGATCAAGAGTTGGGTGCCCTTGATGCGACGCCTTACTCTGGAAGAAAGGAGCATCCTTTAAAAAAGTAACTAGCCAATTTTTTATAACATTTACATACCTAACATTTACATACCTTTAACAAATTAGAATTTTAAGTTTTTCTTACAGTACGATTGGATGCTATTATTCCACTGTGCCGCCGTAAGTTTTCATTCAAGGTTCTGGATGAAAGGGTCCTCCTTCGGCTTACTTCCTGCAATAAATGTATTTCGGCTCGACCTCGAATCCCTGTGGATTACCCCCTCCATGCAAGTAGGACGTTTCCCCGATATCCTGATATCTATGTACGTCTTAAACTATGTATTGAGGACCGATCAACATTAAAATTAAAGGTACATCATTCACTAAATGACTTTCTCGCAGTAATCTTATACAATTCTCTCGTTCTTTTTGAAAAAGATGGAGCATTTTTGAGAAAATAGAATTATGCTGTCAAGTCTGCAGTCAATATTATTGTTACTTAGCAATTGCATGTTTGGAGCGTACGTAGTTAGGATGAAACCGGAAAAACATCCTATTTGCATGGAGAGGGTAATCAGAAAAAAGACGAGGTCGAGCCGAAAGACAATCACTGCGGGCAGTTAAAAATTTGATTATACGAGTTATAGCAAACTTTCAAAAAAATTGAAATATTCCTTTTTCCAAGATAAAAAATTGTTCACTCTTTATAAGTGGATAAATAAAAGACATATACCGATCGAACCCTATACGCGTTCTCGAAGGGTTGGTCAAGAACGTCCCGAATACCGTAACTCGATATCTCTCTCCGTTCCGAAAATAGAAATTAGAATTTGGGTAAAATTTTCCATGTTGCAAAGCAACTGTCCACCAGTTTATATTTTACCCTAAAACTGATGGTTGAAAATTTAATCAATGCAGTTTTTCAAGTAGAATTGGGGCTCAGGTTATGCCTCATTTTAAACTTACTTATTTTCCAAAATTGCGCACTGGCAGGCTGTCGAAATTGACATACAAATTAATATCCTTCTCTTGTACGAGTGTATACAAATATTTATAAAAAATTGTCAAATTCTGCCGATTTTTTTAAACGGACTATCTTACATTACATAATCAGATAGACTTCTTCAAAAGAAGAAGGTTGATGTTTGGTTTTTGAGATGCTGACCTAAAATTGCTCAACTTTGGCAGTCCACCTTTTAGAAAAATAGAGATGTTATACTGAAGAGTTATAAAGTACTCATAATGAGCTTCAAAATGAGGTATCATATAAGCAGGTAATATGTCTTTATTGCATCATTAACATTACAACATAAGATTAAAATTATGATACGAATGGGGCGAAGTCTAGCCATTGGCCAATCTACTGAACCAATACTCTAAAATATAGAAAAGTCTAAATTCAGTATATATAATTATTTAGCATTATATGCTTTTAAACTTTCAGTGATACCGAGTTCATAAAATACAGGGTATCCCAAAAGAAAGCTCATATTTTGTGGACTAATAATTACGAAAAAACTAATGCATCTATCGGAAGTGTGTAAATTATTTATTATTGTACACAGTTTGGGAATTTACTTTTGAAAATAACATCGTCCAAATGTAAACCTTCTCGGTCACGGCACTCATTTAATCGGACACTAAAATTTCTTATGACGGCTTGGCAGTTCGACTCTGTGATGGTAGCCATTTCGTGATGGATATTTTCTTTCAAATGCGCCAGGGAGGTTGGTCTATTGGCATAAACTTTAGATTTGAGGTAACCCCACAAAAAAAAAGTCCAAAGGGGTCAAATCAGGACTACGTGGAGGCCAATTTATGTCACCTCTCCGGCTGATCAATTTCCAGGGAAAATTTCACGAACTGGTGACAGGGACTGGTTGGACGTGTGCTGGAACCATGTCTCTTGGTTATAGCTAGGAAAGTTTTGCAATTCTGGTGCCAGGAAGTTGTCTAACATTTCCACATAACGCTCCAAAGTGACTGTCACTGTACGTCCTCTTCCACCCTCGAAAAAGTAAGGGCCGATAATTCCTCGCGCCGACATTGCAGCCCACTCGGTCATTTTAGGGGAATGTAGGGGCTTCTCAAGGCTTGCGTTTTGGGTTAGTTTCACTCCAGTAGCGGGAGTTTGGCGTATTGACATGCCCATTCAGATAAAAATGAGCTTCATCCGAAACCAAGATGTTAGTGAACGTTGAAAAGTGCTCAATTGCCTGATTTACAAACTCAAGCCGTTGGCTGGCATCCTGGGGCTTCAATTTTTGTACAATTTGAATTTAATGCGCTGTAATGATGATCTAGGTACATTTAACGCACTTGCGCGCTTTCTAATTGTGAAGTTCGGATCGTCACGAACATATTGCTTCACACGGTCCACGTTTTCTCTCGTTGTTGAAGATCTTGGTCTCAACGATTTTGGCTGATCCAGGGTTGTACCAGTCTCTTCAAAGTTCTTGACCCACTTTCTCATAAGCTGTACGCTTGGCGATGTATTTAGGTACCGAATAACTAGAATGTTACAAAATGCTCTACGCGCTGCAGTCGCTGAATTACTGTGATTGACACATCCCCGCACCCCTCGGATTCGTTGCGTTCGCGCAGGAAGCTAAACAAATATGAATTTCTTTTTGGGACACTCTGTATATTCATCAAAGATTAAGTGCTACCAAAATTTCTGTGTTACTGTGTATTGAAAATATATTCTTTTAATCATGACTTGAATGAATGATGATTTGCTGTATTCCTAATATCGATACATATTTCTGAGATCCCATATTTTTCAAGATATAAAGAAAATAACAACATTTTTTTACACTTAAACTAATATATTTGCAGAGTTTCAATTTTTTTCAGTCAGCGGAAGGATTGATTTTTGTTCCTAGTACTGCTTGTCTACCACCATGGCAGAATTTGCCTGTTATTAATTTTTCTGTGAATTCTATAAAATAAGTACTGGACTAATTCAATTCGAAAATATTCTTCCAACGAAGGGTAGGTGGGTATTGTAGTTAGGTCACAAATATCTAATGTTTTGTGCACTATAACTTTCTCGAATCCTTGTAGAAGATTGAAATGTATATCTTCCAAAGTTATATATTTTAACATTTTGGATCTGATAACTCTGTTAAGTATTTCAATTTAAGAATTATCAATGCAATATGCTTGCTTTAATAACTTGTAATTTTTGATACATGTTAACGTTGAAGAACAAATGTATTGTTCTACAACCCTCAGTGAATGAGATATTTTTTAATATTCGTAATTGAGACTAACATATGGACACGTTTAACCTAAAGACGTCAGCTTTTCTCATACCTACTGATAATTAAATGAGAGTGTGGATTTTTGATTCTCAATCACGCCAAAATGAGTGATCGGATCTGGATAAAATTTGGTACAGAGATAGATTATAGTCTGGAATAGCACATATGATACATTTTATCTCAGGAACTGGCTTAATTGACTTGTATCTAACGCGGAAGCGGTCAGCCGCTAGTCCGATCCAAATGAATGAAGGGTATATAAATACCGTTACTATTATCAAAATTACGATCAATCGGACTATGCGAAGATTTGGTATCCCTGATGCAACCTTATCTTTATAGACAGAACACAAATCGTCGAGTAATACTTGAGGTGTCTCAGTGATCAAATCTAGGGCCCCTATTATTCATAATATATATTAATGACCTGGAATTGCAGCTATCCAAATTGAAGCTATTTTTCTCAGATGATTTGAAGATATTCAGTGAAATTGAAAAATACAGTGACTGTATGGAATTGTAGACCTGAATAGGTTGAGTAAATGCTGCGTTAGCAACAAACATAATATAAACATAGCAAAATTTTGAGCTTCACTCGCAAGCCTATCCTATTCGGTTTACTTACTATTTTGATCACACCAATCTAGAGATATGCCAAACATTCAAAGATCTAGGGGTAATATTTGACAGTACGAGGGATGTCTTTTAAGTTTTGCATATAGAAACATAGTAGGCCGCGCGGATCGAATGTCAGTACTGAATCTTAACCTCACTCTTTAGTAAACTTAAATTCAAAGTTTCACAGCAATACCTGCAGTGTTCTCACTACAGTGAATTTTTAAGTGTCACCAAGTCATTAGCAA